ATAAAGAAACCCAGAACACGGCCAATCAGAGTCCACGATAGAAAACGTTTCAGGATCGATCAAGAAGGAACATCCGGATGTTCTGGATTTTCGATCTCGGTGAGTTCCTTGGCAGAAATATGCCATTATCTTCGGGTTTTCAAGTCTGATTTGATCCCAGATCGCCAATATGGCAAGTGCTCCATCAAAACTGTTCGCCAGATGTATTTTCTGATGGCATTTGGCGAATGGCGACCGCTTATCCGACACACTGACTTATTATTGAGGGGTTTAACAGGGGTTGACAAAAAAATAAAAAATAAAAAAAATGTTAGATTTTGATATTTTTTAAGTTTACAGCAGATTATCTACTCATTAATCGATTTTTGGAAAGGTTATTAGTATGACACTGTATGACATATTGATTTTATCTGTTGAAACTAAGATCATCCGTCTGACTATATTTTGCGTTCAAAATGATAAAAAATAATGGTTCCATTTAGTTCACTTTCTTTTAACATCATCTTGTTTTTTGAAAAGGTCATTAGCATGATATATTGATTTTATCTGTTTAATTTAAAATCAGATCTGTCTGACTATATTTCGCATTCAAAATGATTAAAAATAATTTTCCATTTAGTTCACTTTCTTTTAACATCATCTTGTTTTTTGGAAAGGTCATTAGCATGATATATATTGATTTTATCTGTTTAATTGAAAATCAGATCTCCTGTCTGACCATATTTTGCATTCAAATTGATTAAAAATAATGGTTCCATTTAGTTCACTTTCATTGAATACAACCTTGTTTTCGTTGATCTGCCAATTGTTTCTGCTTATATTCCTACATACGTTTTCACCTGTAGAGCACTTGTAAAAACTGAGCACTGAGCATTTGTTGCATAAAATATTGCATTTAAATTATAATAAGATGAATTGAGAATTTATTTCCACTATTTATAAAAATAGATTTTAACATCAATAAAGCATATGATATGATGTGGGGTGAAAGGATATATGATTTTTGCAAGCACATAACTTTAGTAATAGAAAAGCTTTTACCATGATCATTTTTTTTAGTAGAAAATAGACTATCCCATGAGGCAATGCTAGAACCAAAACTTTCTATTGAAATAAATTAATGCTGCCTCGCCCAATACTTTTTCTCGAATAGGTATTTATAGGATATCCTATGATTTTGAGGAATATCATTTTTATCCACGAGGTGATATTGATATCTGCAAGAGAGAGCGAAGCGAACGAGTACATGTATCAATATCACTGAGTAGATTAAAATGATATTCTGAAAAAGTCATAGGATGTTCTTATTATCCTACACTTACTATAATATAGTAGTGTATACTGAATGTTTAATATCATTGAAAAATGAAATGTCAAATAGTTCAATTTTGGGGGAAATCAACAAGCAGAGTATATCGTAACAATATCCTCCGCACATTGGTTTTCTAGAGTATATCGAGGCGATATCCTCTGGTTATCTATTTTGCCAATAGATATTAAATTTATTTTTTGATGTTATTATACATATACAGGGTGGGCCAAAAAAAACCACCCCCCTAGCCAATATTCCTGATAAATATTTATTTTTTAACAATCACACCAACAATGATATATCATATTAAAGATAATTTAATTTGCAACAAAATGATATATAATAGCACCATTTTCAACAACCCCATATAGAAATATGACCATTCATGTGACATGGGGGTCAAAAAACACCATTTCAATTTTCGTCGATTTTGCGAACAATTGCCTATTTCTACCAAATTTTAGTAAATTACAACATTGTCATGAGTCTTTCATAATTGGATATTATATATTGTTTTCATTCAGTTTTTGAACCACACATGCTCAATATACATGTGTATGCTTATAAAACTAATTTATTTCTTCTTCAGTCTGTCCAAAAATAGCTCAATAGAACCACCCCCGGACCCATCCTCTGATTGGATTATTCGCTTAAGACGCGGAAGCCATTGGTTGATGGCATAATTGATGGATGTATGCAGAAGTACCATTCAACTACTAGTTATTCTTTCTTTTAGTTCCTCTACATCCCTGAAAGGCTTGGTATATTTAAATACCAACTGTTCTAGATGCCCCCAGGTATGGTAATCAACATTATTGGCAACTGGACTGCCAGTAAACCATTTTTCTGGGCAAGAGATGGTGACATTTCGAATCTCCAAAAACTGCACGGTAGCATTGGACCTCTGTTCTATCAGAAAATGAAATTTCTTTCACATGTTTTTTATGTTCTTCTGGAGTCCTTTTTTACCACCTCATGTCATTAACATTCAGAGTATATTTTTGCTCCTGGTTCAAAAAACAGGGCCTGTATGGTCTTTCCTTTTTGGGAAACAGCGAGTGGACACCACCTACCTTTCAGAAAAATGTCACCTCGATTTGAGTAGCCTTTTATCGCAAATGTCACTATTCTTGCTTACTGATATAGAGTATAGCCTTTTGATTACATGTACAGTACTTGGGGCATTTAGAACAGTTGGCCTATGGAGATCCCTAGACCATCAGGAGTGTAGACAAACAGAAAGAATGAATAATTAGGTGTTGGATGGTACTTCTGCAGAGGTCCATCAATTATTCCAATGGCTTTTGCGTTTTAAGCGAGAAATCAAATCAGAAGTTGGGTCCGGGGATGAGTCTATTGAGCCATATTTGGACAGACTGAAGAAGAAATGAATTAGTTTTATAAACATACACATGTATATTGAGCATGCAAGGTTCAAAAACTGAATGAAAACAATATATAATATCCAATTATGAAAGACTCATGACAATGTTGTAATTTACTAAAATTTGGTACAAATAGGCAATTGTTCGCAAAATCGACGAAAATTGAAAAGGTGTTTTTTGACCCCCATGTCACATAAATGGTTATATCTCGAGCCAGAGTTGTTGAAAATTGTTCTGTTATATATCATTTTGTTGCAAATTAAATTATCTTTAAAATGATATATCATTGTTGGTGTGCATGTTAAAAATTGAATATTTATCAGAAATATTGGCTAGGGGGGTGGTTTTTTTTGGCCCACCCTGTAGTACACTAAGTATAGGATAATCTGCCTTATCCTACACTTAGTGTACTAAAAGTATAATAACATTAAAAAATAAATTTGATATTTATTGGCAAAATGAATAACCGGAGGATATCGTAACGATATACTCCGGGCGGAGGATATCGTGACGATATACTCCGGAAAACCTAATATGCGGAGGATATTGTGACGATATACTCCGCTTGTTGATTTCCCGCCAAATTGACTCTATTTGGCATGAAATTCATTTTGCAATGATATTATACATTTAGTACACTTCTTGTAAGTGTAGGATAATAAGAACATCCTATGATTTTTTTTCAGAATATCATTTTAATCTACTCGGTGATATTGATATATGCACTCGTTCGCTTTGCTCTCTCGTGCAGATATCAATATCACCGAGTAGATAAAAATGATATTCCTCAAAATCATAGGATATCCTATAAATATCCAGCTCCTGATCATCCAGTATTTGTTTAATATTGCCCGCAGAAATGACGTTATTAGTATTATTACCATCGTTAATGCCCAGTGCTGAAATAGCAAAAATTATATGGATTGAAAGATATCTTATTTGGAAAAGTGCTGGGCATTAATGCATTATTGGCCCGCCACTATGGCCCCATACATACATGGAAAGTAAAGATACAAACACTCTAATTTTAATTACAATATATCTACCAACTTTTATAACATATAGTCAAAACGTGTTAAAGTTACGATTGTCATTGTTACGGTGGTCAGGGGTATGCGGAGCAGTTCCATGATATCACTAAATTATCATAAATTGTCAGAATTTAACCATTTGAAACAGTGTTTATCATTGTATTTCCTATGAATATTATGTTTTGTTCAATATTGTATTCTTGCTGCCATAGTATTTTCTTTAGTATAATGATACCACTGATACATATCATAACTATGTAATGTCACTAACCAGTATAATCAAAGAAACATTACATAAGTGCTTCGAAAAAAGGTCCCTGGATTAATAGGAAAGTCAATAGTGCACCTCCACAATGCACCAATTCACAAAGCAAAGAAAACAAATCTTACAATTGAATGTCTTGACATTAACACGTTTTGTACAATGGCTCATATTACCATGATGATGATGATAATGTCCTGTTGGACTTCTACATTAATCTTAAGCAATATTTGTGAGAAGTTCAACATGAAAATGAGACTCTGCTTGAAGACAATTTTAACAGTAATCTGAGAGATGGACAGCAGCGGTTTTGTCATCCTCCTAAGCAGGTGTCCAGAATCCGTACCTCCTTCTTCCCCCCTGCCATAAGCAGTTAGCATTTCCCCGATTAAGAACTTGCAATTTGATTGGCTGTCGCAACACTGCGACAGCAATCATACGTCATTGGCGCATAATTAGATCATGTGATTCAGTTTTATCGGGCGCGTCCAACTTGGTTATAGCAGGGGGTAAAAAGAAAGAAGATATTCTGGATTTTGAAGCCCTGTGATCGGAGGATGCGGTTTTGTCAGGTCTTTGAATCTCTGGTCAAGATCAGGCCCGTAGCCAGGGGGGGGGGGGGGGGGGGGTTCGCAGGGTTCAGGCGAACCCCCCCTGGCATAAAATTCTTTCAAAATCATGCATTTTTCCATCCTTTTTAAGCAGTTCTCAAGTGATTTTAACCATATTTGGGCCAAAATTGTCAAATGTGAACCCCCCCTGGACATTTTTGAACCTTGGCAAATCCTGGCTATGGCCCTGAAGATGCACCACGAATGTTTAGATAATATTTGGAAATTCATAATACTGGATAACAGTAGTATTGTCAAATGACCAAACAATGTTACAATAACTGTATCATATCCCACGTAGGTGGGTAGATGGGTATGAGGTTTTTTATACAAAGCCTTGAATTGAAGTGCGTGTTTCAATGGATTTCCAGATCTCAGTCACTTTCGCAATAATTTTACCTTTATATCCCGCCACTTGCGCTCAGTTCATAACTTATCAACAACTTCCTAGTATCCCATTGTCAGATTGCTGTATATCTGCTTCCTAGTCCTCTATTTTAGGTGTATTTCTAATAAATTTGAACAAAAATATCTGTCATTTTAGAAAGCACTAGACGAAACACACTGGACGAAACATCCACAATATGACGAAAATTCCTCCCGGGGGCTTTCTCAGCTATCAGAATAGAGTTCATTTATTATCGAGATCAATCTTACATGTCTTAGCATTGGTCCCTTAATGATTTATTATTATCTGAAATATGCAAACTGAAGTTTTTATTGTAGACCACGGGTTGTAGACTAGGGAAATACTGAGGCTACTGTTTAGATTCCAAATGTATTAGTCTGTATCTCATACTTAAGTGGGTTTGGGGTAGATATCACTCGGGAATATATGTCATATCTGAGGAGCGGGCAGGATATATATTATATGTCCCGCTCCAGGTCAAATGCGAGCAGATATAATATATCCATCCCGCTCCCGGGAATTTTTCAAAAGTTTAAAAAAGTTTAAAAAAGAATGAGATACACCAGTTATGCACGGTCGGTTTGGATACATGGAATATCCCTTGGGATATACAATACATCTTCCCTCGGTCCCTTCGGTCCCTCGGGAAGATATATTGTATATCCCTCGGGATATTCCCTGTATCCAAAACCTCCCAGTGCATAACCCCTTTATACATAGAGTGGATATCATAATTAGTGAGACAATTCTGAGCAGAGACATATTCATATGTCTCTGTTCTGAGGCAGCATCTTATATTCATTCAATTGCAACAAAACTTGGTATAATGAATGAACATACCCATTAATTTATTCCAATAGATACCTAGCAACAGTGGTTACCATGGCAACAGTTGCTAGGGGTCTGTGGAGCAGCTAAAAAAATTCTCGAAACCAGGGCACATTTAACCTTATAATTTTTCAAAAATTGATTAATTTTCAAATTTAGTTTACACATTATCTTGAGGCAATTCTTATAACAACATAATCAATTATGATGTAATATCTTGCATATTAATGTCACATATGGCTGTTAGATCAGAGGCACTGCCATTTCACTGTACAATGGGGTGGAGCAGAATTGGCTGAAATGGGGTCAACCCAGTTGTCCGAAACCCAATTGTCCGAAACCCAGTTCTCCGAAAATTACAACTTACAGCTCTATGAACGAGCACTCTTTCATTGGTAAAGGGTGTATTTGAGAGTAAATTTCATCAACTGAATGATTCCTTTATGGGCTGGTATTTGATAAAACTGTCAAAAGATGAAAGTACAAGGGCATATACACAGGGCTGTCAACTTGGGACCACCTAATATGAGTGACTTCAAAATGTTGGACACCTAAGTCCAAATCTGAACACTTTTGTCCAAATTTTGAACACCTTTGGCCAACTTTTAAACACCTTTGGCCAAAGTTTGAGCACCTTTGCCAAACTTTGAACACCTCAAATTTTTCGAGCTCGCTACGCTCGCGATATCGTCAACGGGGGGGGGGGGGGGGGGGGGGGGGCGGTTTTTTCCGGCGTTCGTATTTTTACCGTATCGTAAACATATTTCGAAAAAATTTCTACAGAAATATTTTTGCTTGACAATTACCAGGTAAAATGCGTATTTTGCGTGACATTTTCTGTCACGCAAAAAAAACTGGCGTGACTTCAAATTCTTCAGCAAATGCGTGACAAATACGCAAATTGCGGGACAGTTGACAGGCCTGATATACAGGTGATATAGATGTTCAAACAAACAAAGTTAAATTGTGTTATTCTCATTGCAAAGTGGCGTTTACATAGCATACATACACTCCCCTCCATAAGTTTGGCAACCTTAGCTCTCCCATTGAACTACGTGTTAAAGCCGGACTTGATATTCCCAATAATAAATTGTGTTTTTAGAAAACTAGCTTGACTTTGAACATGTCTACTGAATAATTATAAAGTCAAATTCCATGCACAATTTTCGCAAGAAAATGAGGTCAGCTACTACAGTACGTTCAACCTGAGACTATGTTAGTCTCAGGTTCAACAGAATTAATCAACATGGTATTTAACTTACATGGTCTAAATTACTTCAAAAATAAATGATGATATTTGAAATATTCAACCCAAGGATGAGGATCCTAGACAATACTAAAGGAATGTGTCCAAATGTCAAAAATGGTTGAACAAAGTCAATCAGTCAATATTATAAGCAGGGTCTGTGGGACATGGCTGGGGTCAGGTTTTGGTGGAGGGGGGGGGGGCTCAACCACGCTTATACAATTATAATGTTAAAGGTTTGTTTAACAAGACACCAGACATCTATAGCTTATATAAACTAGAAATATTTAATAAAAGAAAGTGCTAGTCTATCACATCATGATACATGCATCTATACATGTATATTATATTATACATATGTCACCAAATGTTACCTTCTTCCTCGAAATAAAAAGAAAATCATTCAAGAAAGCAAGAAAGGTAGGCCCACTTATAAGGAGAAAATGATGAATTTAAGAAAAATAAAAAAAATTGGCCCCAGCGCCACTCCCCCTGCCCCCTCCCCCTCTAGATGCATTTGAAACATACTGACATGTGAACAGATTATTATGTTCAACTAATCATGTTACAGGTGTTCTATTTGCAGGTTTTATGTATTAAGCAATTGGATTTGCCATATACTTCTACCTGCTGTTGCTTCACATCTTGAATTTACCCATTTCAAATCATAAGGTCATCTTATATAAGCTTGGTGTCCCAAATGTAACAGAACTAGAGCTGGTATTTTGTTAATTCTGCTCCAATCATGTTAATGTTCCTCTAATATACTTTCATGTATATTTAGACTTGAAGAGCATAGTTTTTAAAATATTTGATGAAAAGCTGTTAGTGTTATGGTTGCTATGGTAACTTGACATCACAGAACCTGGAACAACTTTTCATAAAACTAATGTAACATTGTTCGATAAGTACAGTATTTATGAATTCAGCACCAGTATAATTATATTTTTGGACATCCTGTATGTCATACACATAACTTGATGTAAATTGTGAGAAAAGTATGTTGTGAGAAAATCTGCTAAATACATTAAAATGTTTATTTTATAAAATGCTTGAATTCTAAACAGTGAAATATAAAATTTAACTTACCATTCAAAAACTTTAAAATGTAACTAAATCTTATTTGTCCATAACAATCTGAATTCCAACCTTGAATATATTATATTCTCAAGCTAATAAGCTGTATGAACACGAATGTATAATCCAAAAATGCAGACAATACACTGTAAAATTCCACCAAAGTTCTTTGTGTTTGGAAAATGTATCATAAACTGTTTACTAATCTGCTCAGCTGTATATTGTCAAATATAATCCAAAATCCATTTATAAGAATGCAAGAAAATGTAATATTCAATTACTGTTCAAGATTTTCAGTTTGTCAGCTCTCATAGTCTGTGAATTGAGTATATTTTATAGGATCACACAACCTCTTGAAAATGTAACACACCTATCATTTCATTAATTAATTTATCAATGTACCCAATGTAGGGATATTATATCAAATCGCAGTACCTGTATATGCATTTACCTGTGTAAAAAACTATGGTGGCACATTTAAAAAGCAAAACATAATGCAAAATAATGATCTAAGTATATAAATAATAAAGTAAATGGGTACATGTATATTATTCCCAGCAAAACGTATGGACCATATCTTCAGTTCACATTTAGAAGGAGAGTTGGGGTGAAATATTCATTACTAAAATGATATTTTTTGCAAGGGAAAAAACGTCAATTATATCGCAGAAGTTGAAAGTAATTACTAACATTGTAATATCGTCTCTGTTGGAATGATGGATAATGAAAATATATATGATGTATTCAGCTGATTATATTGAGATCTATTGAAAAATCCACATAACAGAGACTAATATATCAGTTATTTATGAGCCATTATGAAAGTAGCTTGGATTGTCTTAACATATGAACATGATGCTATGGCCATTATCACTGTTACCCAAGGAGGAAATGAACTTCATTTTCTATTTCCCACAAAAGCTACATAATATATCATATTCAGGTTTTGGCCGTGGTTTCACATGTCTACCCAGTTCTATTTGTAACTTATGTGAACTTAATCTCAGTTGTGAAAATGATTGCATGTGATTTTTGTTTTGGAGGCTTAAACATTGTTCTCTTTCAAAAGTTGTTTTTTTAACATATACAAGGGGCGATCCATATATTCTGATAAAAATGCTCTCATTTTGTGATTTTTTCACATATCCCTTTCATTTTTTCAGAACATGTAGATTATGTAGTTACACATACGATGCTAAAATAATTTAGCTATATCTTAAATTAATCTTGAAATAAGGTTGCCATGGTAACCTGTATTTAGGGTAGGCAGGTCAGTTAAAATATAACGTCTAAAATAGATAAATATGTTAATTTAATCATTCCTCGGTACCTATTTTAAGCAGATCAAACGCATCTTCCATTCATTGCCAATTATTCATTGATCTTTTCCATACCCCTGTTGCCCTTGTTTGATAATTTATACAGTGGGATAGCTATCTTTTCATAAGTAACATCTCAATTTATCATAGTGTTATTCTCTGTCCGCAAGCTCTTGCAACCAGATTGTGGATGATCTTCAACAGTGACCTTGCCCTCCTCTTTACAATACTACCTATAGATTCTTTATGCAGATACAACACCTTGCCCATGCACTTAATGAGTTCATGTATGTCTCTGACAGTGTCCTCTTATTCTTGAAAGAAAAGAAAATCTAATGGTATTCCCTAATGTATCCGTTAATGTCACATTCTGCATCAGCCACATTAACCTCATCTGACAATTTGATTTTTGGTGTGTCTCATAACATGTAATGTCAATTGACCCATTCTGTCCTACAATGCTATTGTGATTTGTTGTGATGTTATAGACAAGTGAGGACATATAAACATTTGTTTAGCAAGTAACAACGAGTAACAATACCGAACTTTTTTAGAAAAGATGCATGATTTCCGCATGCTTTAGAATAATTAAAATAAGAAGTTATTATGATATTTATATGTTATAATTGAATTGACCTGATTACCCTTAATACAGGTTACCATGGCAACCTTATCTCATTGATAATTTAAGATATAGCTATAATATTTTAGCATTGTATGTGTAATTACATAATCTACAATTTCTGAAAAAATGAGAGGGATATGTGAAAAAAATCACAAAATGAGAGCATTTTTATCAGAATAAATGGATCGCCCCTTGTATGTTCTTAAAACTGGGTATAATATTGTAAATCGCACTTCAGTTTCTCCTTATAATTTTGGTGCAATGTTTTAGTTCTTTATCACTGGTACTCACCTAGTTACGATGACGATATGTAACAAGATGGAAAAACTTCCAGGCTTCGTTTTCGGTGAGATATTTTTATTTCTCGTTTCTACACACCACTTATGAGTCAAGTTGTGGACAATAATTTGGCTCAAAGTTGAGGAAGATAGTCGAGTTTGAGAATATACATGCGGTTCTATGTTTGGTATATTAATGAAGACACAATTCACATATTTAGTCCCTCGCTTTTGTTACTTTGACGATCTTCATGAATATTGTCACATTGGCAATAATGTAAGTGGGCAGCAAAACAATTCTTTTTGGTGGCAGGATGACTGCTAAATGAGTATACATGTAATGTCCCTCCTGCTAATAATATTGTGAGTCATTGATGCAATTCTTTTCAGTTACTAGCATTGAATAATAACAAGTATGTGGTTCTCATAAGCTATAACATTAACACTATATATATGGCACAATCATTTCTTTATTATAAATAATATAAATATCATATTCCATTCCAGGGGATTCCGCTATAATTTTAAACACATACATCATTATAGAATTCTCCCTATCAACCTTACATGTGACATAAGTTCTTATAACGTAATACCACACAATATCATAATTGTTACAGGCTATTTGTATACAATGTGTCAAACATACTTATATATTCCATGTATCAAAATGGCACAATGGTGAAATATATGCTTTTTCCTTAATTCACAAGTTACAACAATTTAGTATGCATGAAGGAATACTTCTTTTGACTTTTATCATTTCCCATCATCATATCTTTTTATTAAAAATTAGATGAAGTAACGGTAGGTAAAATGGCAAAATTTTAAATTTCAAATTTGGTAATGGATGGTTCATAAAATTTTAAACCCATACATCATTATAGAATTCTCCCTATCATCATTACATGTGACATACGTTCTTATAACACAATACCACACAATAACACAATTATTGTTACAGGCTATTTGTATACTACACAAGTAACGGTAGGTAAAATGGCAAAATTGCAGCAGATATTATCTGACTTGAAAACACTATAAATGATAGGCTTGAATATTGTCAAAAATGCGATATTTAATTCCAAATGCAGACTGACAGAAAGACAATTAATTGAGTGAGTGATTCCAAAGGCAGACTGACAGAAAGACAATTGAGTGAGTGATTCCAAAGGCAGACTGACAGAAAGACAATAAAGTAAATGATAACATAGGCAGACTGACAGAAAGATAACTAAGTAAATGATTCCACAGGCAGACTGACAGAAAGATAATAAAGTAAATGATTCCATAGGCAGACTGACAGGAAGACAATTAAGTGAATGATTCCATAGGCAGACTGACAGAAAGATAATTAAGTAAATGATTCCATAGGCAGACTGACAGAAAGACAATTAAGTGAATGATTCCATAGGCAGACTGACAGAAAGATAATTAAGTGAGTGATTCCAAAGGCAGACTGACAGAAAGACAATAAAGTAAATGATAACATAGGCAGACTGACAGAAAGATAATTAAGTAAATGATTCCATAGGCAGACTGACACAAGAACAATTAATTAAATGCAGACTGACACAAGAACAATTAAGTAAATGATTCCATAGGCAGACTGACACAAGAACATTTAAGTAAATGATTACATAGGCTAACTAAGTGAGCCAACAAAAACTAGCATATTCTGACATTTGCTTGTTTGCCTCAAGCAATTAGAGAAAGCCCCATAAAATTACAGAACATGAGATATCCATTCAATGTATGGAATTGAAATGTGAGAGTCTACATACATAAAAGTCTACATCTACCATTCATTCTTTGAAGAGATCATAAATACTAAATAGGTTAAGCACATTTCTTTAATATTTAACACTCCTGTTAAATTGATAACATAAGTTGAGAGTTGACATGTTAATAACTAGAAAAAAACAGTAACTCCATGGAGTAGCAAATCCCACCGAACAAAAAAATGAACCTCAATAAATGTGCTCTGAACAATAGTACCATGATCACCTCAATTTGTATACAATAGGCATTCAATCTAGAGGGCATATTAAACATTATTAAGGTGGGACACATAGGGCAACATACTGAAAATACATATCATAAAATACCCCCTAAAATAATATATCATATGCTGAAATGAACCTTGTTAAAGGTTTTCAGAATAATAGCACCATGGTCTCCCTCATTGATGTATATTGTAGCTTTAACCTAGGTATTCAACCTAGAGAATATGTCAAAACATCATTAAAGCTAAGGTAGAACACAAAGAGCAACACCTGAAAACACAAAACCTAAATTCAAGCTAAATCTAGTTGCGACTTTCCATTGCATTATTTTTTTCATTTGTCATTATCAAAGAAATTAAAACAATGATAGATGACAAAATGGTCCAGAATGTCTTTCCAAATAAGCTTTTTCATTTTTGTAGAAGGTTCTATGTTGCACCTACCTTAAGCAATACATTCAAGGGAGCATGGATTCTTGACTATAGTGGCAATTTAAAAATGGCCTCCTTTTCGAAACTAAAACTTTTGCTATACTTTCATATTGTGTATCTTCCACACTTAGGACCTTATCTTATTTCATGTTTGAATTATATAATGGTGTCAATACCAGAGGGGGTCTGGCTTGTGGAAGTACCTCAATCTGTCGATGAATGGAGAAGGTCATTCTCTCTTTACAACAAAAACACAATAGGGTGTCTTTCAGTACAATAGGATTACTAACTACTTGTACATAACTGGCAAATGAAGTGAAGCTTCGTAGATTAGGACCCATTGTAGTTCATATACTGACACGTCAAATGAAGCCTATCTACAAAACTCATGATTTTAATCAAGGTTTTGTGAAAATATGAACGGACGGATGAACAGCTTTTCTATATCCCCTCGAACTTCGTCAGATGGGATAATTAGACAATAATATATTAAGAATGTAAGCTCAAAATTGATATTACATAGCATTTCCACAATAAATAATATAAAATCAAAGTACTGCACAACTGCTCGGGAGCTCACAACTAATTGGTTTATGTATTAGCAACTTAACGGGAGTGTTTTTCATAATTTCTTCTATTCAGTTTGTTTTATTGCATTTAAAATCTTGTTATTCTAAAGTCGATTCCTGATACTGCCTCAGAAACTTGTTCTCCTTGAAAGCTAGCACCATGTCCATATAAGGAGAGACGGTGAGAGTTGGCCGCCATGACAGAGGGGGAGGGGCTTACACTTGGCGTTGTTTGACGTGAATTCGTAAGCTCACACTGATCAAGTAGATGTACCAGTTCCTGGGCAGTTGGCCCACCAGTGACAGGTTTCTCTGAAACAGAAAACATTCTTACTGAGGATAACATTATTAAGGAGTCCAGATTAGGGCATACCAGCTCAAAATGAGACAAAATTGTAATCGACTAAGTTGTTAGAGGGGGCAAATTTCTGATTTCTGTATTCAAAAAATGAAATATTAGAAAACAAAAAATGTACTTTATGCAATTGAGAAGACACTTTGGAGTTAACTGTCAATTTTATAAAAAATTACATTAGTGGTAAAGTATTTTCAAAATTATAAATTTTTTGATAATGAATCAACATTAGGATGTTAAAATCTAAATATCTTTATGAAAATCTGACAAGGCAAGCTACACACTTTATAAAATAATGTTAGTAAGAGAAGAAAAACCATATATAATATGAATTAAATTGATTATTCTAAATTGTTGCTTAAATATTTTCTTGAAAGGCCATGTGCAAACATTGCAATGCAAAAATAACAAAAGTTGGGTCAAAAAATCCTTTGAATTTTTGATTGTATCTTGGCAGAGGTGAAAGCCCTATGATCTTGGTCTCTCTCATGAACATTGACCAAAAATCGCTTCATATGTCCATTAAACTAGTAGATTCTGTACTGGTCTACTTTTTGTACAAGGTGGTGCCTCTGAGATTCAAAATATCCACCCACATTTGGGTTTTTATCCTTAAAAATCAATCGCTACTGTATGTGTAGAACCTTTAGAGGAATATATCTTCTGACTTGAATTTAAAAATATTGATTTGTATTGATCAATTTTGAGAAACCTAGAAAACACAGTTTGTGATTTAGTTTGATGACCTTGACCTTTGACTTTGCAAATTTTTTGACCTTTTTTTGACCTTCAATATCTCAAAATCTAGACAAGAGTTGTTCAGATGGCAAAAGGCTTAGACTAATAGAATACTCATGGCCGTTGCCAGGGGGTCGTGTCGGGTGTGCCTGCATCCTTCTTTCAAGTTTATTTGAGTCCCGGATTACTTGGCCTTTTGGGCATTATTTATTCATTTTAGTTCAAATTATCATTATATGGATGGGCCATAAATTTTCAAATTTGGGTACAATTTGGATTTTAGGGGCTCAAGTATTTTTTCTAAATTGAAATGTGAGCCCTGCCCGTGATATGTGTAAGACTACCTATTTGGCTCACTGGCATGCTTTGCTCCCCTGGCCCTTTCGATTTTTTTCTTCATTGAAAGAAAAATTTGCCTCATTAATCTGAAAAATTTGCCCCATGCACACCCCCTTGAGAAATCCTAGCAACGCCAATGATACTAATATCTATCTGTATGCCAAAATTCAGGTAAAAATATTGAAATGTAGTGTCAGGATTTAAGAAACTTGGAAAGAGCTTTGATTTGACTTAGATTTTGACCTTTGACCTTGACCTAAATAAAATTTAATTTCCTGCCAAGGTTCTTGAAAGGTGCATGTAGGAGATAGTTGAAAGGTAGTTGGAAGTAGGAGAAAAAGGGTAGGGAAGAATAAAGAATAAGAAGAAGGGGCCTCCTTATAAATAAATTGAAAATAAAAATTTAAATAAAGCAACTTTTAAGGTCATGATGATAATACTGCAAACTTTCAAACTAATAAAAGTAAACTATGGAACAAACCTTCTTCAGTTCTTGTCATAAGATCAACAGCAGTGGTAAGGTCCCACATCTGAATACAGCCATTAGAGTGGCCAGTGAAGAGATAGCGTCGTGGTCTAGACCCAATGCGGTTAGAGCCTTCACACTCATGTACGCAGAATGATGTGATGGTGGAACCATCTACTGAACGTATTTCACAAATTCTGAAATGTACCAATAAGGACATAAATAAAGCTGATTTAAATAAAGAGATCAATTCATAATATCATATCGCTCTCACTTGGTAAAAACATGATTGTGTTGAACTAGATAACGGCAACTCCGCGGAGTAGCAAATCCCAACGAACAAAATATCAATTACTGAATTCCAATCAATTATACTCATTATTTTGGTTAAAATTGAAAAAATTAGATTTTAGAATTGCGAATTCCTGCAAAGCAGCCATTTTGAATTTTCTGAGCTACAAATCTGAAAAATAATACCATAATTGTGATCTACTCCAAAATTCCTTCAATATGAGTATAATATAGCCATACTTTGAAGGGATCGAAAAATTATTGCGTAATCATACATTAGACGGCCATTTTGAATTTTACGAGGCTCGAATCAGAAAAAAGATACAATATTTGCAATCTACTCTTAATTGCCTTTCATTTGAGTATAATAAAGCTATACTTCAGAAAGATCTTAAAATTAGCGAAAATCTCTGTTTTCCCGACCCCCCATACAGGGCCCCTGGGGGTCAGGATGAAAAACACGGAATATATGTGAAATAGATAAATGTTGTGAATATACTACCAAAATTTCAAACAATAATATTAATTACTTTGGTTTAGAATGAAAAATTTATGATTTTTGCGAAAAAGTCCCGTAATTTTTTAAAGCGGTGGCCATCTTGAAAAAATTTTTTTTGCATAAAACTATTCACCAATACACATCTTTCCGCTAAATATGAAGAAAATCCGTCTAATAGTATTTGAGTTATCTTCCGGACGGACAGACGGACGGACTGACGGATGGACGGACTGACGGACGGAGGGCTTCACTATATCCCTACCGAACTTCGTTCGTTGGGATAATTAATCACTAAGAGATCACTTCATAATATCATATCAATCTCACTTGGTAAAAACATTTTTAAAAACTACTTTTTCAGTTATAGCAAAAATAGTTAAAAAACAAACATAAAAATGGCTACCATTTTCAAAATGGTTGCTAGCCATTACTTTTTGATTTATAGTCAATAATGTAAAAAAATGTAAAAATGGTGGCCATTTTCAAAATGGCTGCCTTCTAGCCAAAGAGTCATAAAACAGTGTGCCATACTTATGAGTATTCACATATCAAATATGAGCAAAATTGCTCTATTACTTTTTGAGTTATAGTCAATAATGTAAAAGAACATGTAAAAATGGTGGCCATTTTCAAAATGGCTGCCTTCTAGCCAAAGAGTCATAAAACAGTGTGGCATGGTTATGAGTATTCAGATATCAAATATGAGCAAAATTGCTCTATTACTTTTTGAGTTATAGTCAATAATGTAAAAGAACATGTAAAAATGGTGGCCATTTTCAAAATGGCTGCCTTCTAGCCAAAGAGTCATAAAACAGTGTGGCATGCTTATAGCGGGATAAATAGTGTAAAGTAATCGCCGTTTGCGGAACAAATCGTGAAACTTTCCTCAAATGATCACTGATTGCTACTCTTTAAATAAAGCAACTGTGCCAAAAAATCGCTCCATAGGAACTACCCTAATTTTACAATTCTTACCCCCCCCCATGGTCATGGAGGGGGGGGGGGCTAAAAAAATTTTGACACAATTTTTTTTACTAAATTATGCTCATACTTCAAATTTAATATAACCTTATCATGTTAAGAAGTTAATGTTGAAGTAAAAATATGAAATACCATTGATTTTCGATTGCTATGTTAAAGGGTGGTGATGGGCGACGCCCACTTTTCTTGTATTGAATATTTTGCACCATATCACAGTAGCAGGAGTAAATCAAATAAGTGATATATGATTTTAAAATTACATCTATATCTAATGCTTCACATGACTATTATTTTTCACCTTTTTCACTGTTAAAGGCCCACACCCATCTTTTAGATATACAGAAAAAATGGTCAATACGGCTTCACTTGTGGTTTCTTTTGGCTTCTGAGTGCAGTTAGACTCCATATATCAACTATCTATATCTGTTTCATAGTTCCTTTAGTTTCACTTTGCACACATTTTTAAATCATAGTTTTATTAATCTTATCAATAGAAGGATTTATACTAGTGTCTATTAGTGTCATAGTTACTTTTTGGTATGTTGCAGTATCCTTATGAAGAACAATTGCCATCACACACACATAATGCTGTACAAACAAGATTTCCTTTCAGGCTGTTGCATCGTGTTGATATGCATTGGTTTTTGCAGCTACATTTATGAGAGCCTGGCAAGCGTCTGATGCATGGGGTAAGGTTGTCCACCTTGGTATCCATTTGGTGTCTTCAAATATCCAGCCCCACTCAGCTGGGGAAGGAACTTGAGGATTCGCTGTAAGTGGTTGCCCCCAAATAAATACAGCTTTGTATATGACTCTCTTCATATGCTGTAAAAGGCATCTGATGTTGGACGAATGTGTGATATTATTGAAGTCCTCTTTGTGAACATCTCCTTCCTCGCAGCATTGATTGATGTTTCATTGCTTGTTTTAAGTTGGAGACCAGAATAATGAACTGCTCTAAAATAGGCATCAAGCAGGGTATTGGGTCGTATTGAGATTTCTGTTAATACTGTAGTCAATTCAGGGTAGGTACTCCATTGGTTCCAGGCTGATGTCTTAAATTTTCCATGAGAGCCTGATGTGGTGTCACACCCAGTCATAGCATGGAATATTGGGAAACACATGGCTTTCTGAGGAGTCATTTCATGGGCAATTTCGTGGGCTGGAAGGTATCTATAGGACTTTCCCTTGCCAAAGGTGAGCCAGATTTGAATGTTAAGTTGTACTAACTGCCAGAACAACAATGTCTGAATCAACTGTTCTAATCGTCATTTTTGTGAAGCCTTTTTTCATTGCATCATATATGTGCAGAAAGATTCGGGAATCTGCCTCTTCATGGGATGATGGTGAAATCTGAAAAGAATGCTGCTTAGGATATGCCTCTGCAGAATTCCCAATTTTTGTAATCAGGATTTTATTCTCTGGTACTGGAATGGCTGAGACATTTGATGCAAGGAAGGTAAAGAGATCACTTTTCTTGTCATCCGAGCGTAGAAATTCTGGCCAATTCCATGGCAATTTGTTTTCTGGATAAACTATTTGATGCTTTCCAGATCCATGCTTTTTTCTTATTGAAGATTTGACACTATTTGGTATATATTGATCCCATACAATATCAATTATAAAGTCTTTGTACTCTATTCAGTTGATCTGCAGTATACTTATTAAATATGTCATTTGAGTATTGTAGGAAGGTTCTTGCTTCTTGAGTTTTCAGCAGGTGGACTATTACGGCACCATCAAGAAACAGGGCTTCAACATCTGATCTCTCTATTTGGAACAAGGTCTTCCACTGGTTTTAAGATATTTGCTTTGAGTCCAGTTTTGATTGTGCCATCTTGTGAAAGGGATGGAGGGAATGCCTTGTTCTCATGTCGGAAAAGTTCATCTAAGTTGCCGTGTCTATTCTGGCACGCTATGTATAGTTGTGAAAATAGGGCAGTGTCATTTTCAAGCTTGCTAGCTTTGAACTTGACTTAGATTTGTTTGAAGATCTTGAAATTGTTTCTCTTGATAGGGTCTGGTGATGGCTTTTGATCTTTCAATAATTCTCTCCTTTATATATACTTCACATTGACTTTTCCCCCTTTTCTCAATTGTGGTCAATGTGTCAACTGCACTGCTTGACATTACATCTCTAGTATCAAGTGTCCAAAGTTCCTTTGATGTTGCAATAAAGGGGTTTCCTAAATCATTGATAACCTAAGTAAGGGAATTGACATATTTGTTGAAACTGGTTTGATAACTAACACTGTGCTCATGGTTTGCAAGGACCATCATTATACTTCATCTCATCCTCAAACTCAGTTAACATTCTTGCGATCTCTGGACCATCGACCATCCACTATTGTAATGCGGTTGGATTGTCGAACAACCCCACAGCTCCACCCTCACCTTTGATCACACTATTATTTTGCTCATGAGCTTGGTCTATTGACATGGAGGAGAAGCTTTTTCTTGACTTGCTGACAGTGAAATGCCCCTTCATGAAACCATTGTGAACTTCAGGGTGGATTTCTTTGAGCTGAACCATATCACTTACATGGACAGGTACCCAGCGGGCATAATTGGTATGATCCAGGGAGACAAACCATGGCATGATTTCCATGATAGTTTCTTTGTAGAGCTTGAAGTCCCCAAGTCTCACAGCTCTAACATTTGTTAGACCCAGAACTTGTAATTGGAGTACCATGTACCAGAATTTGAATATAGGCGACCCTGTTTCTTCACTCTGCTGGGTATCTATCAAAGATTCAAAATCAAGAGGCAAAATTGTATTGATTGGTAATCTACCTGAAATCTACCCAAGTAGCAAGACCCCCTCCCAATACACATAACACTCATTCTTAATTCAAAACTGCCCTTATTAGACCAACAATATCATATTTTAAAACATAACAGTTAAAGATGCATTATGCCATAGGTTTCTCCCCCAGACAATCAATGATGTCCTATTGTTATTGCTCATATAATATCTCACATACCATAGATATATCTTGAGAATAACTTTTGGGTATATTATTGCCGAAATATCGGAAATAATCAACAGAACAACCAAACTCCAGAATTAAACACAATCGATTCCTCAGCTAGCAAGAGGAATCCCCATTGAGTCACACAAGCGCCCACAAGTGCCTTGAACCAGGCAGCCAATCAGATTTATGATGAACAAATTCAACGACCAATCAGATAACAAGACGACTTTCCCGGTATATTCACACTTCAGATTGAATTAATTTCTTCAAAAAGAATTAGATTGGCCAGCACAGTCGCGAAATTAACACTGAAAGAGGGGGATTTGGGACTTCTTCTTTGGTAAGTAGATGGGTATATATGTGGTGAAACTCAATATGCAAAAACTCCAGAGGGGTCTTGATTTTGCTATCCTATGGCATAGAGCCTCTTTAATCAAAATAAGCAGAATAACCTCTTGATTATTTTTATTAATCATGTAGGTCAAAATCATACTTACAAAAACTGATCTAGATTAGTGGTGTCAATTAACCGCTTGAGTTTTTAAAGTCGGTTAACCGGCGGGAAATTTGAACTGATAATTTCAAATGAAATCTTCATCTTCGATCTTGAAAGTTGAAAAAATCGGCGTTTATTTTTTACGTTCGTCAAGCTTTACGCTATTCTATGTAAGTAAGCGCGGGAAAGCAATGTGGCAGGGATTAAAGTTGCTGATTGGATGTTTGTAAGGAATTATCGGACCTATCACATGTATGAGTAGCTCACATGAAACTGACGCTTGAAAAACAAACAGATTAAAATGCAAAGTAAGCGCGGGAAAGCAATGTGGCAGGGATTAAAGTTGCTGATTGGATCTTGTAAGGAGTTATGTGAAACTGACACCATAAAACCAAACGGATTAGCATGCAAAATAAGTGCGGGAAATAACAGAATTATACACGGTCAACTAACCGCCCATAAAAACTCAGACCGGTCAAGGCATTATCGGCGGTTAACCGGTTAACCGGTTAATACTTGACACCTCTAATCTAGATCCTATCATAAACGTTGATGCTCATTGTCACTCAATCATGACCTTGTCAAAAACAAGAAGAGATTTTGGTAGTTGTTTCAGAAAGATACACTTTTTCCTAGATTATTCTGTATTTGCATTCAAATCACTCATCAGATGTCACATAGTTTGTCAAACTTTATTTTCAATTAAAATTACGTTGTTTATTATGTAGAGCCACTATGGAAAAGAGATAAAAGGAATTAATTAAAGATAAGTAAATATTCATTTTGCTAAAAATTGACTGCAATCTCACTCATTATCATATGTATTATGGTAAAAGGTCCCAACTTTGAAATTATGATACTATTTAATGATAATCCTAAAATGTTATGGATGGTCATTAAGCCTACCCCTATAAATTTTAGGGGTAGGGGTAAAAATTGCGAAAAGTAGATAAAAAATGGAGGAAATTTTTGGCACAGTTGCTTTTTACACCCAGGAAGGTTGTCTGGTCATATATGGAAAGTTCCACGATTTGTTCCGTTTTCGGCGCTTTCACCCTTTTTTATGTCACTATTTATCTCGCTATTATGGGTATTCACATATCAAAGATGATATCCCTCCACTACTTTTCAGGTTATAGCAAAAATCGTAAAATAGCATGTAAAAGCCGCCATTTTTCAAGATGGCTGCCATGTGTTTCTTAAATATCTACATTTCTAGCTTTAATGTCCTATATAACTCTATTTTTCTATCTGTCATAGCAGGTCCTCTTTTCTCGAATTTCTTCATCTTTAATTTCAAAAAATCTTCACTAACTTCTATCACAGGTAGGTTTCAAACAGCACTCTCTGGTGAAATTCGCTGTTATTGGTACATTTTACAGCAAAATTGACATGTCTAAAACATGTCAATGTCATGTCATGTACTTAAAAGACAAGGATATTATCTTTAGTATTCATTGAAGCTTTTTACACAATTGTGGTATATTGGGAAGTAATACAAACCAGATTTTGACCAAAACAGCTAGAAGAAACTTGAGATAAAGTGACGCCAGAGTGAATAGGGTAGGTAAATATGTGATTCAGCTTAATTGACCATAAACAGATAGGATAATTATTGTGATTTAGATGCAGCTTTATGACCCACCTGTATGTGATTTTTACCAGAGAGTGCAATTTTTACTGGATCGTGTGGTGAAAATGTACCGATAAGAGCAGATATATCTCAATTCTTTTTTTTCAGAAAGCAAAATCATTATTCCAAGGAAAATGACACACTTTTTGAAAATATTACTTCCATCATTCTACACTCTATTTCCCTTCTAATTCCTCTGAGCTGACCATGATTAAAAGGATCTAATGTTTCAATAACATTACAACCATTTATAATTACCCATTATGTCCCTATCATTGAATATATGCCTGATGTCTGTCAACAATATAGCATGAGGTTGCGAGGGCTATATTACAACAGACCGAAGGCATATGTTCAATGATACAGACATAATTGTTGTATTACACACCTTTATTTCCATGGCTATGTTATATCAATGACGTCATGTTGCCAGTGCCAGTGAAATTTGGGAGAAATGAAAACATGACTTCATAAGATTGTCATGGTAAAACATTTGGCGGCTATACAGGAATACATAGCCGACCTTCAGCTCCATTGACTTCAATACAAATGCTTCGCAAGGTATGTAATACATGTAAATGCTTACTGAAAGATGAAGACACCTCACCTCTTTCCATTTGATGACAACCTAACATACAAAATGTCTGTTTCTGGTACCACTTTCTGCACAAATATCTGCTGGTCATCCTGCTCCCCAAATGGTCCTTATGAAAAGTGAAAGCATTAATAGTTTTTGTTTTAAATCCATCCATTTGGGAGTTTGAAATATAAGTTTCATTTGATATGTACCATCTTGTCCCTAAAACTTTTCTGTTATTTTCACATCAATTGTAAGATAATGCAAAATTTTAATTATCAATAGATAGTTGATTTGTGGTCTCGGACTTTGAGAAACTTAGATTACACCTTTTGGGAACTTAACTTTAATGACCTTGACCTCTGACCTTTTTCAGACCTAATTGGGTCATTAGTAATTAAGCTGACCTAAAGTTGAATCCAAAACATCAATTTGAAAAATAAACTTTTTTTGAACATTCGAAGGTAACTGAAGGTCAAGCAGAGATCAAATCTCAAATCTAAGGTCAAATTTGAAGACCTGAGAACTTTCAGATGTTTATCAAAAAAGTATCCTGACTTTCATCCAAAAATAGTGATTTGTAGTTTTGAACTTTTATAAACTTAGATAACACCGTTTGTGACTTAGTTTGATGACCTTAACCTTTGAACTTGAAAATTTCAGTAGGTTTTGTATGATTAATTATTCCTAAATTTGAATCTAAAAAAATCAATTTGAAAAATCAACTTTTTTAACTTTTCAAAGGTCACAGAAGGTCAACCAATGGTCAAATCTCAAACCTAGGGTCATATTTGCACTCCTGAACGTCAAATTGAAACCAATTGAAAAATGAAGTATTTTTCTGTTTTTAATGTCAAATATCTCAAAAATGGTAAACATTTTATCGAAACATATATTATATGTAGTAAACCTATTTCATGCATGTTCTTTCTCTAAATATATTGCATATCAAAACTTGATGTCATGACATTTCTTTCAAAAACAACTAACCAAAGTCATTCCCGGCAGAGTAGTTGACCTTTGGCTCCATATCTTCTAGAGATACAATCTTAAAAGAGGCCAGGGGCATGGAACCAGGCTGTGTAGAGATCATACCACGAAATCTTGTTACACTCCATGTCCTAACATGATTATATTCAGAACACACTGGAATCAGAAATGTTTTATATTGTGTGAAAATATGGAACTTAAAGGAGGCCAGAAACATAGTATAGAACTAGACAACAGCAATGCCAAAGCGTAGCAGTAGCAATCCCATCGAACAACCAATCGTAAAAACCACAAAAATGGCCACCATTTTAAAAATGTTGTCATCAGAAAGTGTTATATGCTTCTAAGTAGCCACATAAAAAATGGTGGCCATTTTTCAAAATGGCCGTCTACATGCCAAAATGTCATAAGACAATGTGCTATGAGTATTCACATGAACAAAATTGCTCTATTACTTTTTGAGTTATAGTAAAAAACGTAAAATAACAAATAAAAATGAATATTAAGGTGGCCATTTTGCAAAATGGCCGCCTACTCCCCAAAGTGGCATTAAACAGTTTGCCATGCTTAAAGTATTTACATACCAAATATGAACAAGATCTACTTTTCGAGTTATAGTAAAAAAATGTTTAAATGGTGGCCATTTCTCAAAATGGCCGCCTTTTACCAAAATTGTCATTAGAACAGTGTGCCATGCTTATATTATTCACATACCAAATATGGACAAAAAGGCTCCACTACTTTCTGAGTTATAGTAAAAAAAACTTTAAAATGGTGGCCATTTTTGAAAATGGCCACCTTCTACCAAAGTGTCATTAGGCAGTGTGCCATGCATATAGTATTCACATACCAAATATGAACAAGATCGCTCTGCTACTTTTCGAGTTATAGTAAAAAAATGTTTAAATGGTGGCCATTTCTCAAAATGGCCGCCTTTTACCAAAATTGTCATTAGAACAGTGTGCCATGCTTATATTATTCACATACCAAATATGAACAAAAAGGCTCCACTACTTTCTGAGTTATAGTAAAAAAAAACTTTAAAATGATGCCCATTTTTGAAAATGGCCGCCTTCTACCAAAGTGTCATTAGGCAGTGTGCCATGCGTATAGTATTCACATACCAAATATGAACAAAATTGCTCCAATACTTTTCAGGTTATACCAAAAATAGTAAAATAGCGTGTAAAGGTCGCCATTTTTCAAGATGGTTGCCATATGCTTCTTCGATATCTATATTTCTAGCTTTATTAATATCCTATATATTTTTTTACATTTAAAACTGATATTGCTATTACAGTTTTACATCTTTACCCCACTTTTTGAACAAGCGGACATTTTGAAAATTGGTTTTCTAGCAGAACTTCTACCCCCATAGTTCATATGTGTACAAAATGGAGATGGAGGTGTTCCCTATATCCCTCCGAACTTTGTTTGTTCGATGGGATAATAATTTTATGTTCATAGATATTATGATTGATCCACAGCGTGTAGACTACTTAGTATTATCCTTTGCAATACACAAGCATTAGTATAGGATACAGGGGGACTATGATTAATTAGAAAAGCCCTGATTTTGCTTTGAAATTAGGAAAAGTTAGTTTGATATTTTAACATAAAATAATACAAATGGATAACCAACCTGATACTAGGTGTTTCTCTGAGAGCATCACCTTGGTAACAGGGCTTCTGTGTACAGTGAATGTCTGGAATAGCTGGGGGCCATGCCCGACTGTTTCAGGGTGCTGGACAATCACACGTACTGTTCCCGCACTTGTCCCATAAGCTATCTCTATCCAGTTGCCGCTTATAGCTGAAAAATATAAATGATATATAGGAAAATAACCAATGATTTTATGTGAAAGGGGATACTTTGGAAAAATGTATAAGAGCCCCCTCTATATACATACTTTGGTATATGGCAACTAGAGAAACAGAAAGACCCCAGAGTCAGAAGAAGTGAGTAGCTCCAACAATTCTTTCATGTTCTATCGTATTTGGGGATTCCCATTACGTCATCTCCCGCATCATCTCCAATCAAATTGCAGGATGCGATCATGTGAACAAACATGAGCACGTGCTCTCTCAGTGCTGCGCATGCGCCAAGTAAAATTTGAAATCGTGGAAATGGCGTTAACATCAGTTCAATATCATCATTTTAAACCAACGGTAATACTATTAAAGTTACTCGATCCAAACTTGTAGAGAATACTCATAAAACTACAGCGAACATTACGAGATTCATTTCAATGGCAAATGAGGCCTATTTTTATAATTTGTTTTCGAACATGCCATAATGAAAGGTTATCTCTGGGAAATATCCCCCCCCCCCTGCCCTAGAGTAGCAAATCCAACAAAACAAAACATATTTACAGCAGCCATCTTGAAAATTCAATCATAAGCAGGGGCCCATAAGGCACTAGCACATAAAATTTGAACCAAGTCTGCCAACTAGTATTTTTATATTTTTATCATATTTTTACAATCAGCGTTCTGATACACATCGCATCTGAGGGCATCGGAAAGTAACCATGAATGCTTCTCCAACTGAAGAAGAAGAAGAGACACTCCATTTGCTATCTCTGTCCTGTGTGTTAAAAACTAGTGCAATAAAGGGCCAAAAGGATAAGATGAGTTTCTTAACAAACATTCTAAAATAATATAATAGCAAAATGTTAGCAAATGCCATATATCACTGAAAAGTATTGCTAACTCACTTGTCTTAGGTGTTAGGTAGACGCTAAGAGCAGTTATCTTGTCTCCCGAAGGATCTTTATACAGCTCTGTTACAAGCAGATCATTATCTTTCATCCGCAAAGGAAACTTTTGCATGTCTGAAACATATACATAGCATATATTTTATAACAAGAACTTTCCATTAAATCATGTCCTCATATATCATACAGGTACAACATTTGAAAGATATTTTATAATTTAATTTTAGTCAAGTAATGTTAGGATTTCCACATGTTAGCTGCAAGAAACAAGATATAAAACCTAAAAAACAAGTAAGTACACATTAGACTCATGATGTCATAGACTTATATAGCAATGTTATTTTCTCAGGCAGTTGTGATTTTTGTAATCTAATAGCGTGATATTTTGATGTTACAGAAGTTATTAGTTTCTCTAATTGAGCAAAAAGTAAATTCATTTTACAGTCGATCAAATCAAATTTTTAATTAAATTTCATGAATTTCACGAAGTACTACTTCTATGTCATCTACGCTGCACCTTAACCTCTATTACAGCGTTATTTTTGGGTTTATTTGATCTTATAAGCCACTGTAACATATATTGTTACTTAGTATCCCATTTATCACCTAATAACACTTGACAAACATTTTACAAAACACGAAATGCAATGGAGTCCAAGGAAAAAAAAATTTCATTTTACCACAATCGCGAAAAGCCCGAAACTAAATCGCATGTGAAAAATACCTGGAGTTCAGTAAGTAATTAGAGATGAACTAAGATTAATACAAATTTTACATTTGTTGATGATTTGTGATTTACTTCGTGACATTTAACTTTCAATCACTGTGATAATATTTGAATGAAACATAATGAAATTAATTCCTTCAACCAATCCTGAATTTCAAAGAATGCAACTTTGGTGATGATTTAATTAGCTATAGCCCCATTACAAGTAACATATACGCTTAAGATATGGACGGTTGTTATGGCTATCCCATCAAACATACTAGGCTATGTGTTTGTGCTCAGATACTAATTACGTTGATGTTTAACTTATGCCTAGCTCACATAAGCACCAGGCCCCAGCCAATCGCCCGCCAATTAGTACCTGTAAAATCTGCCGATTAGTACCTGTAAAATCTGCCGATTAGTACCTGTAAAATCTGCCGATCACCAGGACTTTTCTCCATCTTGCATTCATTGTGAGTATGCTCACACATCATACAGTGCCCACAAACAATTTGTTACTTGGGACTTTAGATGGACTTTATGTCTGAGATAAAATTCTCCAGGTGCCCGTACAATGTCTAAAAACCAGTCGATTAATGCTGGTTATCAGCCAGCACCCCTACGATGTCAGGCTGATTTTCGACAATACCAATTGACCAGAGACCGTAAAGTGAACCTGAGCTTCGTATGTCAGCAAGACATAAAATATAAGTTTTTGAAGAAAAATTCCAAAATTAAATTACGTTAAAAGGTTGCAAGCAATGATAAGCAAATGGGACAGGACTTAAAGTATTTGTCCTTCCTTAGGTTCCAAACTATATTTATTTCCTAAGACAAGGTATTTTAATGAAAATATTTTTTTCGCTATTGTTATCATAAACGCGATCAGTAATGCTTTTGAACAATGATAAGCAATACCCTATCATCATATTTTAATTCCAAATGCGCAACTCAGCGACGTAATTTAAGAATCATAAGGAAATTTCTTTGAATAGATGCCTTTGGTACTACAAATTAGAGAAACCTACCATGAGGTGAGAAAGCAATTGACGGATACCTTATCAATATTTAAAATAATTCTTATGGATACCTTTCAAGTAGAATATCAAGTGATGACTTTTCACTCACAATTTAGCTAGTTAAATTCCGAATCATGCAGCCTACATCTCAGTCTACAGTGATATGTCTACTTATACCATATTTGAGAAAATAAATACATTGGCTTGAAAACAGGACTTACAATAATTGAATTAGTTTCTCAAAATCTTTCCAAATATATATGATATTGAAATAAAAATGTGACAACGTCAATATAGAAGTAGCAAATAGCTACAAAAACTGTTCTACTTCTGATTCAATTATGATGTAATATGTAGCGACACTTTTCAGGCATCAATTCTAAGGCATCAATGACATCATTGATACAAAACAATGGCAGCATCTGCAGCTGTCCAGATATGGGTACTTTGAACTTGAATTATATGTTAGTTCAAACACAATGTCATATCAGTTACCTGAACTGTTAGATGATGGTTATAAGTAGTCAGGGTGTAAATAAGAACATGAAACTTAGCGTTACCCTTTTTGACCTTTTGTAAGGTTACCAAAGGTCAAATCTGAAATCTAAGTCAGATTTGAACTTCTGTGAAGCAGATGATTTTGAAAAATAAGAATTTGGTCAACTTTACTACTCAGGGGTCCATTTTGAAACCATCTTATCTTACAATTTTGCATGTGATTGATCACCAAAGAGTCTTACTGTATACAATGGTTTTCTCTGAATTGTAAGTTATGATCGTACCAAAAATGAACCCCCGATTAATTCTTTGCTTATCTTACTGGCCAAAAAGGGAACATCATTTTCATCCAGAATTTACCCTAAAAGTTCCATTTTTCCTGATGTTGAACCAGTCCATCTAATCTTCCATATCGATCTCAATATACTCCCAATGATTTTATTTCCATTGAAAATATAAATTACAATAGTGTGGACATAATACTTAAAATGTCTCTCTTACTCAATGTATAAAATGTAAACTTGGTCCTGTTATTTGGGATATGTCTATTTTAATTCAAATAATTGTAAAATTGTCACTTTGAATTTCATCCTGAAATCTGTGGCTTTTCAAATAGTATAGTGTCTGTTTACCTTTATCATTCATACACACCTAGAGATTTATTTATCTACTTCAGGATCAATTGTATAATTGCTTTCTGTATATCCTGCTAAAATTTTTATTAAAATTTATGAATTAAAAAAAAAATGTGGACATTTCTTGGCCCTCCCCTATATTTATACTTAAAGGCCCCATGTAAAGTTTAAACCACTTTGGCTTATATTGTAGTCTTACCCAATGTTATCAAAGTGTGATATGTGAAACTTTTTTTTTAAATTTCAAAAAGTGGTTTTTGATAGTCTTTTTGTTCCAAAATTTGTGAATTTATTTAAAACCAACTTTTAGAGGTCACTCATATCTTCAAATTAGCCACAATTCATACCAATGCATAGCATTCATCCTCCCATGTTTTTTGCCGAAAAAATTAAGAAAATCGGTTGATAAACAAGCGAGAAATGAACTTATCAGTGCATGAAAATGGTTCTGAGAAAAATGCATTTCAAAATTATAGTTCTCATAGAAACCAATGGTACAATGATATCTAAAACATAATTTATTCTTCCTTTTAACCTGGTTAGACAATCAACATTGGTTTTTATGAAAGTCTAAAAATGTCAATTTTTTCAAAAAGTTTTTGTTACCTTAGTGACATCACTAATGTTTCAAAATATTTTTGATATGCTAAAACATTGAAGTGGCCCATTAAATACGGCATTTTATTATTGAAATAGTGTGTCCTTTGTTCAATCTTTGCATTGGTGTTAAAAAGATAATCTTTTTTGAAATGCATTAAGAAATATTTGATGATTAAGAAATTACAACTTTTTTTGAAAAATGGCGGGAAATTTGAATATTTGATAAATGAAATGCTCACAACTTTTTTTTCAAAAAATTTTTTTTGTTCAAAAATCTCTAAAATCACTTTTTAAGTCCTGACAAATAGTAAATGAATGATAAAAAAATATTTTCAAACTTTAGACGGGGACTTTAACAAAATGTTGAGATTTATGAATTTTCGATGTATTCATACATCTTCATCATGTTTACCTGATGAAGATGTATGAATTCATCGAAAATTCGTAAATCTCAACATTTAATATATAACTACTAAAATAGAAAAGATATTTACCTGTGTAGTATATAGAGCCATTAGCACAGCCAAGGAGAAGAATAAATGAACCTGCTGTGTCATAACTGGTAATAGGGAGCACATCTTGAATCTGAAATTAAGGTAGGATATTTACACTTAACTCAGTCCAGATATAGTATATTGACTTTTTGTCGATTTACCCACGGAAACAATTTCAGCCGATCGATAAATGCATGAGGAAAACATTGAGGTCCTTGTTGGGATGAGTTCAGTTTTAAAGAGGAAAATCATGAAATACCATAGTATCGCCCATATAATTATCTTTCAATAAAGGACCCACAGTCCTGTGCTCACACAGTTTGGAACCTTCAGAGGAATGTGTATCCTGACTTTCAAACAAAAATATTGATTTGGATTTGTAGTCTCGAACTTTGAGAAACTTAGGTAGCACAGTTGTGTGACCTGGTTTGATGACCTTTGACCTTGAAAATTCTACTTATTCAGAGCTCAGTAAGGTCTTTTGTGATTAAGCTGACCAAAATTTACATCAAAAAATCAATTTGAAAAATCAACTTTTTGACCTTTTGAAGGTCACTGAAGGTCAAGTGAAGGTCAAATCCTAAAACTAATGTCAGATTTGAACTCCTGGCAACTTGTAGATGATTTTCAAAAAAATTTGGTCAAATTGAAGCAAGTTGAAAAATAACTTATTTTTACTGTTTTTTGACGTCAAATATCTCAGAAATGGTAAAAATTTGAGGCTGACATATATTGAGCAATATGTAGGGAATGCTTAAATCTAGTAATTTTATTATTATTATATCTTGGTTACCGCCATATTTGGCGAGCAATACCTCATTGGTATATTCCGTATTTTACGTATTTTACACTCGAAGATAGAGCCAGAAACCCCTCCTTGGAGGAGCCCGGTTTTCTTTTATTCGCACAGGTACACAGACATACAGGTACACACCACAGCATTTTATACGAGTTGTGAACCACTCAGTCAAACACCTAGAATTACATAACGCACAAACAAACTTGTCTGAACCGGGAATCGAACCCGGGGCCAAGCGATATTGGTACCCTTGACTCTCTCTGCAACTGAGCCATAGTGGATGTAATTCATTGCAAGAAATGATCAAGTATAAGGCAAAATTTGAGAAACTTGTCAATCACAAAACCTGCCATTGACTTTATACATAAGAAAGTTTCCTGAAAATGACAAAGTCCTACTTTTTGTCAAATTTTATTGAGTAAACACCAAAAACTGTAATTCCAAGAGCTTTGAAATCTTCAGAGGACATAAGTTGCATATACGAGTACAGCAACTACTACAAGTAATTTGAAAGTTCTACTTCAACAAAGTGTGTAGTATTTACAGAAAGGTCTTGGGAAATGGCGATGATAGGTCAAATAGGCATTATGGATATACATAAAATGAATGTGGAAATGACTCAATCCGAATAGCAGTTTTAATTTGTGCAGCCAATGATGATTGACTTTATACATGAGAAAGTTCACTGAAAATGACAGTCCTACTTTTTGTCAAAATTTATAGAGTAAACACCAAAAATTGTAATTTCAAGAGCTTTGATTTAATCTTCAGAGAACATAAGTTGCATATACAGCAACTACTACAAGTTATTTGAAAGTTCTGACTTTTTTACGTCAAAATCAGCAATTTCTTGGAAACCGGGTGAACTTGAGAAATGGCGATGATAGGTCAAATAGGCATTATGGATATACATAAAATGAATGTGGAAATGACTCAATCCGAATAGCAGTTTTAATTTGTGCGGCCAATGTTGACGGACGGACGGACAGACGGACGGACGGACCAACGGACAGATGCCTGGTCGATCCCATAGGCTCACTGTGTGAGCCAAAAATCCCCCCAGGGATTTTGTAATTTGAGACATCTCCTTCGGGAGAATTTGGGAGCTGCACTGTGCGTTTATTAGAGAGAATACGGTATATTAATAATTTTTACATTAAATTGTTGTCACTATGTGAACATTAAATGCAGGATGTGCTTTTTACAGATAGTTTTCAATAATTGTTTTAAGAGATAAACAATGTTGAATTTAGTTCACCCTATGGAAGCTCCAAATTTTTCGTAGATTTTAGACCAAGTAAAGCTTTTTAAATATAAAATGAAACAATAGAATTTAGGTGTGGTATTTCCTCTGCAAAAGTGTACTTGTGGTTAGACATCAAATCAAATATAAATGTAAATGGTTATAAGTTAATATACAGAAATGTGATTCATTTAGTGGAACAGAGTAGATACATATTCTTGAGTCTATAGATCATGAGCACAAGTTAGAAGAATAGCAAAATCTCATAAACAGCAAAAGTGAACCCTTACCTGCCAGTTTTGTGTCATAGCATGCCACACACCCACCTTCCCTAGATGACTGAGTGCCACTAACTGGCTGCCAATGAAGAACAATGAATCCACTGGTACTCTAAGGTCAAACACTCCTAAATCAATGAACATGTATGTGTTATAAAAACTATGTTGAAATCCACTGTCAATGTTAGTCTGTACCCTGATTCCTGAACCCATACCTCCACACTCTATTCTACCCATTTTCTATTCTACATTCTAAAGTCATCAAGTAAACAGAGAATCTTGACTTGTTCTGTCCTTACTACTATTATAGATGATATTAGTCTTAAATATATTGGACTTGGAGATGGAGGGTTTATCTATATATCCACAGAACTTCAGTTTTGACATGTTAAGATGTTCTTTTAAGAGAAGATATAACTGTTTATCTGGAATGTTTTGTATCCATAGATGGGTTTTACTGAAGTAATTTTCTTTTACCTATTTCTCTTGAGTCCCTATCATTGACACCCCATAATCTGACCAAGCATCCCTCTCCCACTGCAATCATCCTACTAGTGTTGTCCTGGTTAGAACTTAGCACCTTTGAATTTATGGCAATTCTCTCCACTGGACCCTCTAAATGTGGACTGCTCCACACTAAATGCCAGCCGGTAGCTTCCTTCAGCCTGTAACAAAAATTCAATTCAATTCAATTTGTTTATTTCATAAAAACACACAAAATATAGTATACAATGAGTGGGTGACACAAGGGTTTGTGTATATTCCCAAGATGGAGCAAATTAAATTCAAAGTATGTTGAAATGGCGGGGATCTGCCATTACATGCCCTCAATAAAAAATACAAATTGTGCCATCAAATTGCCCCTAAAAAAGTTAAAGTTGTAGCAAATATTTTTTAATCTGTTTTTTCATGAGGATGATGCTTCTGATGGATTTAAAATGTGGGGGTAGTTGGTTCCAAATATCAGGTATAGAATATGATAACATTGATTTTCCATAGTTTGTACGGATTTTAGGTTTGTCAAAAGTTTTCTTATTTCTTGTATTATAATTGTGTCTGTTTTCAACTGGTTGGAAGAAATTATTTGCTTGTAATTATCCTTTTCATTGATCCATTTAAACATGAATAAATATCTTTGTTGCTTATTTATCTCAAATATGTTCAAGATTCCTAAATTTTGAAAAAGAGGTAAAGAGTGGGCTCTGTAGTCGCTATTTGTTGCAATCCTTACAATTTTTTTCTGTGAGAGATGAAGAGTATTGAGCAATGTGCAGCCTGCTTCACCCCAAATTATATTTCCATAAATAAGATATGAATAGATTAGTGAGTAATATATAATAAGTAAGCTTTTAGCGTTTAATAAATGTTTCACTTTGTATAAAATACCAATAGTTCTTGAAATCTTCATGTTTAGTGATGTAATGTGATTTCTCCAGGTAAGATTTTGGTCAATTATAATTCCCAAAAAGTTTATATGTGACACTTGCTCAAGCACTTTATCATTCATCGTGACAATTATATCATTTTTATTATATTGCTTTTGTCCTGAAGAAAATATTATATATTTAGTTTTCTTGGCATTTAACGAAAGTTTGTTTGTGGCTATCCATTCCTCGATTAGTTTCAGTTCAGCATTCAAAGCGTTAGTAATTTCATTAAGATTTTTTCCTTGAATTAACAAATTCGTGTCATCTGCAAATAGCACAACAAATAATCGTGGAGAAGATAAGTAAATGTCATTTATGTATATGATAAAAAACAAGGGACCTAACACAGAGCCTTGAGGAATTCCACATGTAATTATCTCGGGATCTGAAATAGTGTCTATATAACAGGTTTTTTGAATTCTGTTAGAAAAGTAACTTTTTACCAATTCCAGTGCTATACCACGAATCCCATAAAATTCAAGTTTTTGAAAAAGTATATTGTGGTCAATAGTATCAAAAGCTTTTGAAAAGTCAAGAAATACCCCAATAGAGAGTTCACCTTTGTCAATAGAATTTCTGATTTTTTCAACAAATGTAAGAACTGCCATAAATGTCGATTTTTTTTCCCGAAAGCCAAATTGATAAAGATACATGATTTCTATTTTATTCAGAAAAGAAGTCAGTCGATGGTGCATTAATTTCTCAAGAAGTTTAGAAAAAACTGGTAAAATCGATATAGGTCGATAATTAGTAAAAAGTTGTCTGTCTTCCTTTTTATGAATTGGTATGATCTTTGCAATCTTTAATTTGTCAGGAAAAATACCATTTGATAGAGATAAATTAAAAATGTGTAATAATGGTACTTGGAATGCCTTACCACAATGCTTAATTATGGAAGGTTTGAAATCGTCAAAACCGGCCGCAGAGTTTTTCAATTTTGATATTTCCATGTCTAATTCTTTGGAGTCGATGGGATTCAAAAATAAAGTCGACACTTGTCTTCCAATATTACTCATATAGTCCAAAGGACTTTTGTTAGAAGGTGGAATTTGTGCTGCTAGGCTCTCACCTACCTTTGAAAAGAAAGAATTGAACTGATTGGCAATGTCAGGTTTATTTGTTATTTCAGTATTATTATGGAAAAATGTGTCTGGGATATTGTGGTTTTTATTTTTTCTTTGAAGAATTTCATTGATAATTTTCCAATTTGCTTTAATGTTTCCTTGATTTTCCTCAAATTTTTGGCTAAAGTAATGCTTATGTGCTGATCTTATGACTGTTTTTAACATTTTGGAATAAACTTTGTAATTTTCCTTATTTTGATTTGTTGGTGTACGAAGATATTTTTTATATAATTTACTTTTGTGTCTTACAGATACAAGTATGGCTGAACTGATCCAAGGTTTTTCATTGTTATTATATAATTTAATAGATACTGTTTTTGTTGGAAAACTTTCATCATAAATTTCCTTTAAGCGATCTTTAAATAGGTTATAAGAGGCATTTGTATCATCACTATTTATTGTATCTGTCCATGATTCATTTGATAATTTTTCCTGAAATGTAATAAGATTATTTTCAGAGTATTTCCTAATTGATTTCTTGACAACTTTAATCTGATGAATTGTTTTATTAAAGGTAGCAAATATTGGGAAGTGATCTGAGATGTCATTGAAGATTATTCCACATAAACCATTTTTAGAATCATTTGTAAAAAAGTTGTCAATTAAAGTTGCTGTAGTTGAAGTAACCCTGGTTGCTTTATAAATAAGTGGTATTAAATTATAAGAAGTCATGGTGTTGTAAAAGTTTTCAGTTGGTTCATGCTGATAAGTCAATATTAAAATTGCCCATTACGAAGATTGTTTTGTTTTCTCTTGAGATATTATTTAAATATACTTCTAGACCATTGTTAAATTCATCAATATCAACATTTGGAGGCTTATATATGCAAGTTAAGAGAATGTTTTTACCATTGTTTACAATTACCTCAATTGTTAGTACATCACAACCGAAATTATTAAATTGAAGATCTGGCCTTTCTTTAACATGAATTGTATCCTTGATATAGAAACCGACACCACCCCCTCTAGTTGATCTTGATTTAAAATAGCCATTAAAATTCATTAATTTTGGAATACTGTGATTCTTGGTCCTCATAGAGCCATGTCTCAAAAAGGCCTACAATTGATACTCCCTTATCAAGTGATGACAACAAATTGGTTAATTTCCATTGATTTGAAGGCAAGCTTCGAATATTACAATGTACCATAGACATATCTACTCTGTTTGTTGCATTCAGATTATTATTAAGTTCAGTTAAAGTGACATATTCGCTCTTTGCCATAATTTCATTGGTTATCACATCAAATCCAGGAGCATCAATCATTTCCTCCCGCATTTCAAGTGGGTTAAAAAGTTTGTTATCAAAATGTATAAGTAAATTGCCATTTGGAGCTGTTTCTATAAAATCACTGTGGTCGTTGACTATGTAAAATGGCATTTCAGACCATGGGCATGGCACCAGGGTAGGAAAACTTCCTTTGATTAATTGATAAATTAATTTCAAAGGAGTAGCAAATCCCACCATCGAAACATGTTTTGATAAATAGCGGCCATATAAAATTTGAGCCAAATCCATCTACTGGTACTTGAGTTATCAAAGATTACATGTTTAATGAAAAATGGCGAAGATTTCCATAAATAGCAGCCACCTTGAAAACTTCTTTTCAAGCAAAGCTCCTTTATCTCGAGGCATCAATATATAAAATTTGAAGTAAATCCATCTGCTGGTATTTACAGCAGATCTCCTTTTCCCCTAGACATCAGCATATAAAATTGGAACCAAATCCATCCACTAGTATTTGAGTTATCAAAGATGTTTTTTTACAAAAAATGGCGGCCATTTTAAAATTCAGTGGTCATTTTCAAAATGTCTTCCAGAGCAGAACTTCTTTGTCTCTAGGCATCAGCATATAGGATTTGAACCAAATCTGTTGACTGGTATTAGAGTTATCAAAGGTTACATTCTTTTGCGAAAAATGTTGGCCATTTTGAAATTTAGCTGCCATCTTGAAAATCGCTTATCGAGCAGAGCTCTTATGTTCCTAGGCATCAGCATGTAAAATTTGAACCAAATCCATTCAATGGTATTTGAGTTATCAAAGATAATGTTTCATTAAAGAAAAATGGCGGCCATTTTGAAAGATAGTGGCCATCTTAAAAATGTCTTCTTGAGCAAGGCTCCTTTGTACCCAGGCAACAGCATATATAATTTGAACCAAATCCATCCACTAGTATTCGAGTTATCAAAGATTACAAACAAGATTTTAGGACACAAAATCCTAAATGGCCACCTTAAAGGAACATTCCTTGCCAGACTATTTCTCTCCTGATATGATATCTACAATCATATATATACTTTACATATTTAGCAAAACACAGGACAATTTTTTCATATGGTCAATGTTGATCATTTAAAAATGTAGTACTCATTCCCAGTAAGCTGCCATCTTTTCAGATTTCTTTCAGGAAGTGATGTCATTGACTCTGACCTGTTATAACCTTGTCTATTACAGTATAGGAAAGAAGTACAAAATCACTTCTAAACAAGAAGCCCTTATCTTCTGTGTAAAAATATTTTCAGGAGTTGTCAACTTAGAATTAAAGAAGAGATCATCAAAAGGATTTTAATCATAGACCAAATTGAAAAAATATTCAGCTGGTTTAGTAATTCTAATAGCTCTTTACCTAATGTTATATGGAAAGTTGAGAGTCGATGACATCACTTCCTGAGTGAAATTTTAAAAGATGGCAGCCTACTGGTATTGAGCACTACATTTTTAAGTGATCAATATTGACCATTTCAAAACATTTTTCTGTTTTTTGATAAACTTGCAAAGTATGTATATGGTTATAGCTACCATATTAGGAGAGAGATGGTCTGGTATTTAAAGGAATACCCCTTTAAAGAATGTCTAAAAATTAATCAGTTTTAGATTTTCATAGGAAGAATCATTCCTGAAAATTTGAAATTGATCCGTAAAACCATTTGCTTCTAAACATGTAGACAGACAAGACATTACAGACAAGATTTTAGGACGGATAATCCAAAATGGCCACCTTTACATTCACCCAGAATGCCAAAAACCTAATCAGTTCCAGAATCTCATTCTTAAAGAATCATCTTTCAGAATTTGAAATTGACCTGTGAAACTTTTAGCCTGAAAGCGCGTGGACAAGACTTTACAGACAAGATTTTAGGACAGAAAATCCAAAATGGTCACTTTGACATTTACCCAGAACGCCCAAAACCTAATCAGGTCCAGATTTGCATACTATGAACCATTCCTGAAAAATTTTAATTGATCTGTGAAGTGATTAGCCTGAAAGCATGTAGACAAGACTTTACAGACACGATTTTAGGTCAGAAAGCCCAAAATGGCCGCCTCAATATTTACTCAGAACACCCAAAACCTAATCAGTTTTAGTTTAATTTTTTCTACGGATCTGTATATACTCATAAGTTATCCCTGAAAATTTGAAGGTTACACCTGTAGCTGTTTTTGAGAAAACTGTCGGACATACAGAAGGGCAGACAGACGCGCCTGGGCCGACATATGGCCCACACTATGTGGTGTGGGCATAAAAAGAAACAAAAATTATTATTTGTTCAAAACAAGAAAAAATATTCAATCTTCATGATTTAATAACATGTTCTCTATAGGAGTCTGTATCTGTTTCAAAGAAAATAAAGATTTCAAAGTTGATCGGCAACTTTAAAAACTTCATTTATATTCCACGAAAGGTAATATTGTATCACCCACGAAAGCGAAGCTTGAGTGGTGATACATTCTTACCTGAGTGGAATATTTCCTGTATCACATAAGCTGAAACGTGTGATGAAGATTTTATCACATGTCTTGGAATGTTGAATTGAAGCATTTTGATTTGGTCATTATGATTTTGTTCAGTTCTCTGTACTATTATAACTATTATATTTTTGTGTGTTTTGAGTTTGCTTTGAAATAATATGACATCATTCTGTTGTATTAGTACTTGTTAGTGAAATTGTATATGACGTCATACTGTTTTCTTTAGCTACGAACCTAAAGAGCTAACCATGTGATAATAGTACATACAATTTGTTATGTAGATGATTCTAGTTTAGATCACTTTGATTAGATTTTGAATATTTAAGGTACAACTTCAGTATCGACCAACTTTTTCTCTACAATTTAGATTTTCTTGAAAAAAATTCTAGGTTAAAGATATACTGATGTATAACAAAATTGACTGTTTTGTTATTTCTAAAAAATGTTCTATTTAACATTGCTTTCAATTATTATTAGGAAAATTATTTTTTTAATTTTAAAAATTGAATAACTGATATTTTCACAAAGTTTTATTGGATTGAACACTTTTTAAAATGGTGTATTCCTCTAAATGTAACTAAGAATTGAACTTCATGTCTCAGAAGATCCCTATCTTGAGAACATTGCTAGGTATAGGATTTCTCAAATTTATGATGTTAATTTATGGTAAAAAGTTACACTCATGATTTTGGGAGTTTTTATATTCAATCCTTTCTAATTTTTTACCATATTTACGAAATTCTTTGAAACTTTCCCCATTTGGTCAGAGTATTAATTATGCCTCTCAAAGTTTGGCATGATAATAACAAAAAATAAATAAGATATGATTGGTAAAGGACAATGCACCTTTTTTCTTTACAGAGGGTACATACTTTTTGTGGCTCAATTGGTTGAATGGCTATGAATCCCAAGTTTCGATGTGTCTCATCATGGGCTTTCAATTAGTCTAGTTGAAAGCCCATGGTCTCATCAGGAAGACAATAGAGTGATAAGGATTATGTTAAGTGGAGTTTCTGTGCAAATTTTCTTCTTGGATTTTAATTCAGTAAACTTACATTAAGTGGTGAAGTGTCCAAAGGTAGGTCATGTGACACAAAACAACAATCATGCGACACAAAAACAATGATTCATTTACCAGATGACGTAGTTCAAAGGAGATCAATTTTACGACAAACAAAAACCATTTAGCTCAGCTTGAATTTTACTCTCGCAGTCGTTCAAAACTGAATCTTCTTTCGTCGTACCCTTTGCATTCGTCTGACTTCACTTCTTAAAAGAGAGCTTCGTCTTCACTCTTTCAAACTAAAATAAACCTGTAAACTCACCGCGCCAATCAGTGTTCCTCAACCAAAGACCAACGTTCTATATATGGTCATTCCTTCTGACGTCATCGTTGAGCTCGGAATTGACCAATGACACGCGCATATTTAATTAGCACGCATTTGGCGTATGTTTCTTCAAGCTCACTGATTAGTGGAAGAAGGTCAGCGCATCACTAGTGTTTCAGTAGAATCATAGAGCCAGGCCATAAATAAGGACCTGTCAGCACTGGCAGTAATGTAAACAAATCTCCAAGACACATGCTAAGCTTACTCCTTAGCAGTGGAGGTATCATATTTCCACTGCTTATTTTCAGGCAGAGCTGGGTTTCTATGCTTTTTTTCTAAGTTTTTATGACTTTTAAAGAAAAATTAAAGCTTATTTAATAGCTTTCACCAGTTTAGACTTCAATATTCTTTACTTAAACATTGAGATTAAATCTTCATTTAATAGATAGACATTTTATTACAACCATGCAAGTTCTTATAATTATCTGTTAAATTGACTTTGAATGACCACCACTTAGCATCTTTACATATGGGAATTAGCATGACATCCTTACTTTATAACCTTTATAACATTTCATTATGTGTTCTATAATCAGTGGACTGATAGTTATTATTAAAATAATTTGAGAAACATGTTTGTAAATGTTTACAGTCTAAAAAATTGTTACTTTGGCATTATATGAGAGTGTATGTGTGTCGATGGGAGGGGGATAATGAGGTAATACCTTCAATTAAAACAGTTTACTCACCAATATCCAAGTACATATGTCTCCAAAAATATAGTCTGTTTGTAGGATCATTTGACAATGTTTATTTGATTATAAGTGGTCCATAATTCCTTGCAGGAATATTAATATTAATGTTTTTTTCTTACTTTATATTGTGTTTCACATGTACTGTACATATACGTCTTATCCATGATCTAAATAATCATTCTTCCAATTGGTTTCCTTAACTTAATTCATCTTTGGTTCATTTTCTATTCAAAATACAGTTAATTTACACTTGTATCCAGGAGAATCATATGTAGTAATAGGCAATCATGGCACAAATCCCTGGGAAATGCAAGGCAGCTTTTGGGATGGAATTACAAGTTAACCTGATCTTGCATGGATTAACCCATCAGCTCCAATGATTAAACAAAGTCTTAACATGAAAACTTGAATAGTATATTGAAATCCAAAAGGGTGGACATAGTCTATTCCAGATCCAAGGAACCATATGTCACACAGTTTATATCAAAGTGATTTGTGAGGAACAAATGCTTTAATCACCATGAAAACTTGCATTAGGAAAACTTTGAATATAAGTAACCACTTTATGAAAGTCAAAGGGTAAATATAGTTTTAAACAAGATAATTTGAAACTGAACTTGTTCGTGAAACAGCTAAAATTGTTTAAAATAAAGGAAGAATTAAGTTGTTTTCTGCCATTTTGAAACTTAATTATACAGCCTAGCAACTTAAATGCAGCTAAGCAACAGCCAATCAGAGAAGTTACCACTAATGTATGCTAATGCAGCCAATTAATCAATTCTACAGCCTAAGACCATTTTAACCTGTTAGAAACATCTGTGGCATAGGTTAGAAGTGATTTATTACCCAAACTGTTACTGGTACCTGTTGTGGGGGCGGGGCTACTAAACTGTAATATGGTCTACACTAGGCAGAGTGTAGTTCAACTAGACTCTGCACACAGGGTACTTTCGTTGATATCGAGGTGAGTGATTTTTTCAGGCTCCAGTATTTTAACGAAAGAAAGTTAGGGTCATAGCCATTCATCAGAGCAGGTTTGAGGCACCAACGATTTATTTTGGAGTTTTTCTTGGGAATTATTCCCGATTTACTGCTATTCCACCTTTAAATGAAAGTTCACGGAAGTAACCTTAGCAAAAGTTCACGCAAGTAAACCTTAGCACCAACACAAATGACTTATCTTTTGTTTCATTCTATTATACTAGTGGTGACTATAAAAACAGTTTGGCATGTCAATAAGTATAAAATTATGAGCCTAAAATTGTGCTTTAAAATAAAGGTCAGCTCTAAACTGGTCTAAGACTATTTCTTCATTCCTTGTCAAATTCAATTTGATTATTAGATAAAGGCAGACTTTCTCTCCATTTTCTTTTGATGAGTCTTAAAGCTAGCTGGAAATATTGAGGATTTTCGCCCTGGACCATGGTGCATTGTGGACTTACCTCAATGGTGTTGTTTCAAACTTTGTTCTAGTGCAATGAAAAGTCACAATCAGATTTTCTAGAAAGATGGGCATTCTTATATACTTCTAATTTATTGTATTTACTTTTTTTGAAACCATACATTAAAACACTATCTTTCACAAAGAACATGTACTTGTAATATGAAGTTCATTTATGCCATAAGTAGAAGGTTTAAAAACTATCCAGTAAAGAATATTAATTTGTATTGATCATTAAACAGTTGCATTGCAATTATCACTTGGTGTGGTAGTGGCAAATAAATAACCACAAGTGTCAAATAAAAAATCAATAAAAAGATGCAACTTCAGTTATTTGCTTGAAATGAATAGTGGTGGAACAAGGAAGAGTGCAAATACTGAGAGGTGTCCACCATTAACTGGAAGAGATTCTGATGGCTTGGAAGTGAACCGAATATCCAACAATTAAAAGGAAAGAAGTGTTCATACTTTCAGGGTGTCACTTTATGGAAGTGTCCAACTACATAAGTTTTACTGCATCCATGTAATGAAATACATTTAGCATTAATGTTAACATGATTATATAGAATAAACTCAAAACAAAATTAACAATTGGCCATTGATTTGTAAATCAAAATAAGACTGAACAATTTAAGGAATGTTAAAAAGAATAATGGTTATATTATTCTAATATTATTCAGAGGTTGATCTAAAATGAAGCAGAACAAAACATTTTCTCTCTGGCTTCTAATAGTTATAAATGCGCAGATGATTCTCATGGTATTGTTGCTGTCTAAATCAGAAATGTTAAGTTACAATTCAGTTAGGAAACACAAGATAAACAAACAGGATACAGTGGCACATACTTCAAGAAAAATGGTTAATAACTCTCAATATATTTCAATTTCTAAAAAAGATGACAAGAAGATGTTTATTCCAAGGGTTCTATGTTTTGTTATGACAAGCCCAACTGATCTCGACAAAAGGACTATACATGTAAGAAATACATGGGCAAAACATTGTGACATAGCCCTATACATGAGCTCTAAGGAAGATAAAATATTTCCAACTATTGGACTAGATGTGCCAGAAGGAAGAAGTCACATTGCTTTAAAATCAAAAGCTGCTTGGACATACATAAATGAACATTATGCAAATAAAGCTGATTACTTTGTAAAGTGTGACCCAGATAGCTTTTTAATCATAGAAAATCTGAAACGATTTTTACAAAATTATGATCCTGAAGAACCACAGTTCTTTGGTCACCTCTTTGTGAAACCCTATCTTGAAGAGATATCAAGTGACAAGCCATTCATGGCAGGTGGTCCAGGAGTAGTGATTAGCAGAGCATCTCTACGTAGACTTGTAAAAGTGGCCCATTCTGAAGATCTTGCATGTTTCCCAGATGGAAGAAGTATGTACACATCCGTAATATATATAGAAAAAAGTATTGCATTCTCGTATTCTCTTGAAAAAATAACTTTGGAGTGAAGAGATAATAGTTTAAAGAATGTTTGGGGTCAAACACAGACATACAGGGTAGGCCAAAAAATGTTACCTATTCTGATTGTACACAAACATGTTTTGATTAATAGCAGTCAACTTGAAAATTTCTTCTTGAACATAGCTCCTTTTGCCAATGTCATGCTCAATTCAAGCACCCTTTCTCTAAATTCAAATTATGGGCACATAAGGTTTGTGATAACAAAGTCACACATATATTGAGTTGAATCCAGCAAATTTCCTGTAATTTATAGAAAAGGTGCAAGGATTGAGCATGACATTAATTATTAAACCAGGCTCAGAAACGTCCAAAATAAGTGATCATTAGTATCCAATAAAAATATGATGCTTCTGTAACATTTTCCTGAAAAATGGTTAAAGTATTCATATTAAAGTTGTGTACAATCACAATAGGTAACATTTCTTGGCCCATCCTGTAGTATACATCTTAAAGGGTTAAATGATAAACAAAACTTGCCAGCCTTACATTTTTAAACCGAGTACATTCTAAATTACCCCATAAAATCTTCATTGTCTTCTATTTTCAGTATGCTGATTAAAAATAGATATTTCATGCCTTCTGAACAAATCTTTAACTTTCTTTTCAATTTTTACATTTATATGATTAATGAAAACACTAAATGAAGTCCTGCCCAATAGATAGTGTAGTATGATTAATTAAATGTGACATTAGAACATTATAAGAAATTGAATAAAGCTGAATGAAGGTGACAGTAAAGGTAAATTTTTTATTTCTTCCATTTTGACCAAAAATAAAATTGACCTGTATTTTGTATACTAAGATATTACAATCAGTTTCTCTTGGGGAGGTTTTTCATAGTGTCATATAGTTTAGCCTATAGTTGACCTTAAAACAAGTCACTTCAAAATGTCATTCCTGATTTACAAAAATTAAACTTAAGTTTACATGTACATGTTTGTAAAATATAAATTGAAATACAGTAAAACCTGTATATCTGAACACCTGGCTAATCCGAACACCTTCCAATTTGAACACTTTTTTTATGTAACCATAATATGAGATAAGTCATTTAATAAGCATAAGATTTCGTACAAGACTATCATATACTTATTCAGTGTATTACAAAGTTTTTGCCAAAATTAAAGAGTTATTTTTCCAAAAATAATGAAATTGTTCAAAATGTAAATAAAATATAGCATATACATGTAGGCTCTAGGCCTCTTGTAGAATAAACTCATCAACAACATGTATTGTTTTCTGATTAAGTATTAAGTGTTCAATATAGTGGACTGAACAATGAAAATCCCCCCCCCCCCCTGACCAACAATATCCTCGAAATTTGAACACCTGCCAATTTGAACGCTTTTGGCTCCCATGGGTGTTCGGATTAGACAGGTTTTACTGTAGCTGGTGGACATGATGATCTAATTAGTTTAGAATATAAGAGTGGCATATGCTACCCCTAAAGTAGTACATGTATATTGAAACAAGAACACAAATGTGTACAACATATCCCTACCAATGGGTGATCCTATATACTGCACATCCTGAATGCCTAACACTAATCAGTTGAAAAGACAAAATTTTAAGAGAAAAATCCAATGTGGCTGCCTTAAAATTTAGCTAGACTGCCCAAAAACTAAGTAGTTTGAGATTTTCATGCAAAGAATCATTCCTGAGAATTTGAAATCGATCTGTCAACTGGTTCGCGAGGAAATATGTAGACAAGACTTTACAAAAAAGATTTAAAGGACAAATAATCCAAAATTGCCACCTTAAAATTTACCCGGAATGCGAAAAAAATAGTCAGTTCCAAAATTTTCATACTAAGAATCATCCCTGAAAATTCGAAATTGATCCATCAAACAGTTATCCTGAAAACGCGTAGACAAGACTTTACAGACATGATTTTAGGACACAAAATCCAAAATGGCTGCCTTGACATTTATCAAGGTGTGAGTACCGTAATCCAACACCAAATTTGAAAATTCAGAACAATACTTTGCACATATGGCATTCGTGATCAACTATAAAACGCTTATCCCCCATAGTTTTATATATCAAAATGTACCTGTTCATATAGGGGTTCAATTGATCTACATCAAATTATAGGGAGTCAGGTTACTTTTTGAGATATCAGCGTCCATTTATTGTAACTCACGTTTGCAACCATTTCCTCAATTCTGAGATGATGGGCACACGCGTAGTAAACATGCTCACGTCAGAATTATTTTGACCTACATCGCTTTTTTCGTAATTCAAATGAAAGTTGAACTCCTCTTTATTTTGATACCAAATAGTGGCATACTAGGTACCCTAGAAGCCAACTATGGTGTTAATTAGCACAAAACCACAGGTTTTTAAATGGACTATATAGGGGTCATAACTTTTGGCGGATGGATATGGAACCTCCCACCTCAAGAAGGCCAAAAAAGTAATCAGTTCTAGATTTTCTTTCTAAGAATCATCCCTGAAAATTTGAAATCAATCCATCACATATCACATATGAACAAAATCGCTCCACTACTTTTCGAGTTATAGAAAATTTTCAAAATGGGCGCCTTCTACCAAAAGTGTCATTAGACAGTGTGCCATGTTTAAAGTATTTACATACCAAATAGGTTATAATGAAAACACGCGCTACTGCGCTAATAGAAAATGATCCTTCCCCACGAAGTGTGCGCATGTTTTAAGCGCATGTTTATGATTGGTCTATATCATAGGCCCAGGGACATGCATAATTATGGTTAGGATATTGCCTGGGAACTTGTCGAAACATTGACACTTCAAAGGCTGTATAAATTACCGCTAACCTGTCAATCAAACTTCAAAGAAGTGAACTTTGCGGCCGTAAGATCTCAAAAATTACACTTTTCTTGTTACGATTTCTCTAAAAATATAAAACCAATTGAAATGTTCTAAACACCGTTACAAAACTGTATTCAACTTTAATTCAGGAAATAATTCCAAATCTAAAATTAACATGTACTTGTACGATTATTGGGCTTCCATGCGTTATACAAAAAATAATCGAAATGAATTAATATTGGATGGAGGGGGGGATTGGATGGAGGGGGGATCACGTGTATGTAAGACATGATAAGACATGCTACTTGAATTTATTCTTATGACTCCAAATTTTCCCATTTTGCATTCTCCAGAGATATAATATCCAGTTTCTTACTGGGGTACTGAGTTTAGTTTTTTCAAATACACAGGTTCTTGTGATTTTGTTCCATCGTAAAGACATATAAATCCCCCCCTCCATCCACTCCCCCCCTCCATCCAATATTAATTTATTTCGATTATTTTTTGTATTACGCACGGACACTAACTTTAAAAAGTGAGCAATGTCATTAGTATTGTGATAATAATGTACCTTATACCTATTTATTACAGGTCGTGTAGACCATTGTTGCCCGATTTATAGCAAAAGCATTGACTTTTGCACGTTGGTGATGATGCGCCTTTTTTAATAGATCCCATATCTTTGAAGGGTATCAGTTCAAAAAAATACTAGATGACCTAACATATTTTGCCATGCACTGCACCTATTCATTTGGCAATTCAGTTGTAAATTTTCTCTTGAAAAAATAAATCTTCCAAATTTGTTGAGTTTTCTTGCAGAAATCGCCTAATCCCCCCTCCATCCATTTTGTACGATCACCGGGCGTGCACATGTTCTAGTGTTGTCGTGATTAATCGATACATTGCGATATACATCGCCAAAGCTGATTCTGGCGTTGCATCGATGTCTGAAACAAAACATCGATGGTTTTTAAAAAAATTAATTTTGTTGCTAAAAATCACCATTTTTTATCTTATTTTGACGCAAATCGCTTACCTTTCTCATGTCTTATTTCATTTTCCAATGTTTTCTGATATTCTTTCGCTTTAAAACTGTTTTAGGTAGTCGAAATGAACCATTAATCTAAAAAAATTTACTTAACTTTCATTTCACCGTTACTAGAAGTTCCCGGATGTATCAGCATACTCTGTTCGGTATTTAAGTGCACTTTTCTCAGACTTTTTCTCGATGTACATCGCGATGTGCATCGATGTTTACCACTGAAAATTGCCGATGCATCGATGTACGATTATGGCACATCACAATAACACTAACATGTTCCCGGGCCTAGGGGATCGATCATTCTGAACAGCGCCTTAATGCGCCAGCGCGTTAGTGCGTAGCGCGTGTTTTCATTATAACCTACCAAATATGAACAAAATTTGACCATTATTTTAAATAACACGTTAAAATGGTGGCCATTTTTCAAAATGGCCACCTTCTACAAAAAGTGTCATTAGACAGTGTGCCATGCTTATAGTATTCACATACCAAATAAGAACAAAATCGCTCCACAGCTTTTCAAGTTAACAAAAATCGTAAAATATGTGTAAAGGCCGCCATTTTTCAAGATGGCTGTCATGTGCTTCTTCGATATCTAATATTGCTATTACAGTTTTACATATTGTACTTAAATTACTGTAAAATCAGCACTAAAATGGCCACCATTTTTAAATGAGTGGCCATTTTGAAAATCTAGCAGAACTTCTACCCTCATAGGGTATATGTGTAAAAAATATGAACAAAATCGGGCCAAAGGAATTTGAGTTATTGCCCAGACGGATGGACATACGTACGGACAGAGGGGTTCCCTATATCCCTCCGAACTTCATTCGATGGGATAACTAATGTTTTCATCAAGTAGAAAATTGAAATGTCAAAGCAATAAATCTTTGAGGTATTTCATGAGTTGAGCATATGTGGGATTTATATTTTGGCAGTACATGATCTATTAAGTTCACATTTACTGAATACTATTGATATATGAGACTTTTTCTCATTGATTGGCCTGTTCAACTAAATTTGGGAATGTTTGTACATTTTGTGATAGAACTGAATAAGATACACTAGACTACACAGTGTATATTGCACTTTCAAGAGCAGAATGGCTTCCATGTAATTTATCAAGCATGCCCAAAACCTAATCAAATCTTGGCACTATAGTTTGCTGTTGCATTTTATCATGGGATTTTGATGACAAGATGTGCCACTCGTCCACCTGCCTAGCAGCACAAATATGATGACAATATAGCTCTTTTCAAAGTGCAATAAAAACAATTAATAACAAGAACACAAATGTGTACAACATGTCCCACCAATGGGCGATCCTATATACTCATTCTGAATGTAACACTAATCAGTTGAAAAGACAAGATTTTAAGAGTAAAATCCAATGTGTCTGCCTTAAAATTTAGAGGACTTAGCCCAAAGACTAAGTAGTTTGAGATTTTCATACAAAGAATCATTCCTGGAAATTTGAAATCAATCTGTCAACTGGTTTGCCAGGAAACGTGTAGACAAGACTTTACAGAGAGGATTTCAGGATGGAAAATCCAAAATGGCCACCTTAAAATTTACCCAGAATGTGACAACTAATCAGTTCCAAGATTTTCATACTAAGAATCATCCCTGAAAATTTCAAATTGATCCCTCAAACAGTTAACAGAAAATGTATAGACAAGACTTTACAGACAAGATTTAGGGACGGAAAAGCCAAAATGGCTGACTTAACATCTACCCAGAATGCAGAAAAACTAATCAGATCTAGATTTTCATACAAAAAATCATCCCTGAAAATTTGAAATTGATCTGTCAAATGTTTACTCTGAAAATGAGTAGACATTTACCGACACAATTTTAGGACGGAAAATCCAAAATGGGGCCACCTTAAAAACGCAGAATGGCAAAAAAAATTAGTCAGTTCTAGATTTTCATACTAAGAACCACCACTGAAAATTTGAGATTGATCCGTCAGAAAACGCTTCGACAAGATTTTACAGACAAGATTTTTAGGACGGATCATCCAAAATGGCTGCCTTGACATTTACCCAGAATGCCAAAACTAATCAGTTCTAGATTTTTATACTAAGAATCATCCCTGAAAATTTGAAATTGATCTACCAAACGGTTCACCTGAAAATGCGTAGACAAGACTTTACACACAAGGTTTTAGGACGGAAAATCCAAAATGGCTGCCTTGACATTTACTCAGAATGCCAAAAAACTAATCATATCTAGACTTTCATACTAAGAATCATCCCTGAATATTTGAAATTGATCCACCAAACGGTTCACCTGAAAACGCGTAGACAAGACTTCACAGAGAAGATTTTAGGATGGAAAAAATTCAAAATGGCCGACAATAAAAATGTGATTATGAGTTTTTGCTGATTTCTTTTTATAAAATTATCACATATAACTACTTTTAACAATAACAATAGGCTTTTACAATAAAGTACACCTGAAATTATTTATGAAGCTACTAAATAGTTAAAGTATGAAAACTCAAAAACACCATTCAATATGATACAAAGTATTATCGCGTGCTAACTTTTCTTAGGACATTCAAAATGGCTGCCATAACTGAGCTAACAGGTCCAAAACTTAATCAGATCTAGAATGAAGTGAGCTGAACAAGATGTTAAAGTTTTCAAAGCAACTGTGAAGCCGTTTTTTTTGCAGACAAGGATTTTAGCATTTGACATCAAAATGGCCGACAGGAAGTACGTATCGAGTTAAAAAAATTTTGTCCACATCTGTATGCACTCATAAGATAGGAGACAACGCTGAAAGGGTCTCAAAATGATATTCAATATAAAATTGGGTATGAATCAAAGTCATACAGAAGTAGGCATGTTGCTAGTGGAAATAGTAACAGATTTGCAAATAGAGACTATAGGTATTATAATAATGAGGAAAGTGAGAGGTGTTATGACAATCATGATGACTATGATGAAGATTATTGGTACAAAGATGAAAGGCATGATGATCAATATTATTCAAACACCAATGATCAGAGAGATTGGTGGTCTGATAAAGGCTATTAAGCTTGTATGTAGATGTGTATATCCAGTAACTCATTTTAATGTTAAGCACAGTTACAATAGTAATTTCTTTATTGTTATTTTTATGTTATAATAGTATACAAGAATCTAACAGAACTATGGAGAATGTAAATGGAATAAGGATTTCAACATTTAATGTACATGGATTTTCAACATGTAAACCATTCCTGTACAATTTATTATCAACTGTAGATATTCTAGGAATTTCAGAGCACTGGGTATACAATGCTGGTTTATGTAATGAAATGAGTACATTTCACCCGGATTTTGAATGTTTAAGTCTGTGTGCAAAGCGAGTATTTAAGATTGGTAGAGCGAGTGGTGGCATTGCTATTTTTTGGAGGAAATCTTTAAATCATTGTATTCAAATAAGTGATATTAATTTACATTTTGATGTAAATCATGTACTACATAAGAGAATTTGTGGTATAGAATTAACAATGCAAGGGAATAGTGAGAAATTGTGCATTTTTAATGTTTATTTACCATCTAAGGATAATGACAATGGTATTGCATATTCAAATGCCTTAGATATCATTGATAATATTATTGAAACTAATGATATGCATCAGAGATGCATTATAATTGGGGATCTAAATGGTGATCCTCGTGCTTTAAATAGTGATAACCCTCAATCACAAGGATCACTGTTATCTGAATTTACTCACAGGAATGAAATGAACAGTGTGAGCTCAATACATACACTTAAAGGTCCTAGGTATACATACACTGGATATAATGGAACAGTTTCTTGTATTGATCATATTTTAATACCACATAATATGAACAGTCAAATAGTTGAAGTTTCGCATATAGAGAATCCTGTTAATACATCTGATCATTTGCCAGTGAGAGTAATTTTGGAATTAAAGTGCAATTTCCAAAATTCTGAGAATATTATGCAGTCCTCTAAACTTGCATGGAATAAGGTGTCTAAAGATTTTATAAATGACAATTATTTTCCTTTAGTGGAATCTTTATTTAAGAGGCTGAATGAAGAGAAATCTATAGATAATGACAACACATTTGATAAAAGAAAATTCTCACCAAGTGAAATAGAGGAGTTTATGGAAAGTATAACTAAAAATTTTAATTCAGCTGCCAATTTATCTATACCTAAAATCCGGTTCAGGAAAAAGAATGGTAAACCCTACTGGAAATGTAACCCACTATTACCCCAGATAACAAAGGATAAAAAGATTGCTTATGATAACTGGTGTGCAGCGGGAAAACCAAGGGAATCCAATAATGTTCTTTGGATTAAAATGAAAGAGTCTAAAAAGGCTTTAAGGAAAGCTTTAAGGCAAGCTGAGTATGAATATAACAAACAGATTGATATCACAATTGAAGATGCTAGTGTTTCACAAAAAGACCTGTGGTATTTATTAAACAAAGGCAAGAAAATGTCAAGATTACCTGATGTTATACTTGATGAAGAAGGAATTTTATTGACTGATGCTGAAGAGGTTAGGGAGTCATGGAAACAATATTTTGAGAAGTTAGCTTCACCTGTCCAAATGAACAATATATATGATGATACTTTTAAATGTGCAATTGAACAGAGAATAAAGTGTATAGAGGATGAAACTGGTCATGATTCTCCACAATTTCAGAATGTTATAACTGTAGATGAAGTCAGGGAATCCTGTTATAAGTTACCTAAGGCCAAGGCACCAGGTTATGATGGCATACCATATGAACAATTTTTGTATGCTGGTGATCACACTTTTAAAACTATAGCATTTCTATTTAATATGTTGATTAATGAAGAATATTCACCTAAGAACTTTAAACGGGGTGTTATAATTCCAGTATATAAAGGAGGAAAAAAGAAGAAACTTGATAAAGATAGTTACAGACGTATAACACTTCAATCATCATTGTGTAAACTATATGATGAGATTTTACTTCAGAGGGAATTGCGGTATGGTCATAGTTATCAGACAATATCAGAGTTACAGGGTGCTAATAAGATTAAATGTAGTTCTCTTCACTCATCCCTTCTTCTTCAAGAGTCTATAGCTCATAATGTTGAAAATGGAAGTAAGATTGTTGCTGCATTTTTAGACACAAAGAAGGCATACGACACGGTGTGGATTGATGGGTTATTTGCTCAAATATATGACGCTGGTATTAAAGGGAAATTTTGGAGAATTTTGCGTCAATCTTATATAAACTCTATGGACTCTGTTTTCATACATGGTGCAAATTCTGAATGGTTTGTTAATAGACAGGGTTTAAAACAAGGTGGAAAGATCTCCATGTATTTGTACCTTTTATTTATAAATCCACTTATTAACTTGCTTGCAAATAATAACTCATGTAAAGTTGGATCATTAAATGTGAGTTGTGTGTGTTATGCTGATGATCTAGCAATTCTAGCTATACACAAGAGTAAATTAATTGATCAATTAAAACTTGCTAATAATTATGCCAATAAGTGGCGATTTCAATTTAATGCTTCCAAGAGCGCAATTATGGTTTTTGGAGAGACAAAAAGTCAGAAAAAGAAAAGACAACACTCTGAAGGTACCAACATTACAATTGAAAACCTTGTAATTAATGAGGAGAATTCATATAAGCATCTTGGTGTTAATATTTATGCAAATAATAATTCTGATAAGTTGAGGAATGTTAATGCTACAATAAGTGATGCAAGATGTAATTTTTATGCATGTGTAGGAGCCAGAATGAGGAATGATGGTTTAAACCCCCTTATACTTTCTAAGGTTTACCAATCTGTAATGATACCTAAAATGCTATATGGAGCAGAAGTTAGATCTTTTAATAAGCAGGAGGTTGAACTTTATGAAAAAACTCATAAACACATGTGTAAATCTATTCAGAATTTACCTCAGAATACACCAAATGATGCATGCTTGGCATTATTGGGGTGGAGAGGAATATTATATAATATTGAGCTATGTAAGCTAATGTTCTGTTTCAACATATTGTCCTTGGGTGCCAGTAATATTTATAGAAACATTTTTATATTTAGAGTGTTTGAATGTTTAGTGAATCATCAAGCAGGTGGTATTACTAAAGAGTATATTACTATTTTAAATAAATATAAATTGTTGGACAATGTTGTGAGCTTCATGTACAATGGTTGTATAAATATGTCAAAGTTTCTTTGGAAAAAAATATGTAAGAACAATGTTAGGGATTTTGAATTTAATAGTTGGAGACAATCTTTATCAATGAGTATTCAACTTCAAGATTTTAGAACTGTACAGTTGCATGTTGACATTCCTTCTATCTGGTATTACTTAGGACTTAAACATCCTGAACTTAAGCAAAAATGTAATATGATGATTAAGTTGCTATGTGGTATACATACTTTAGAAATTAACAACCATGGTTTACCTAGAGAAAATAGGGAATGTAAGAAATGCAATAATAACTCATTAGAGGATCTTTATCATTTTATTATGGGTTGTGATAATTATGTTGATATCAGAAAGATTATGATTGAAAATTTGATTAAGGAAAATCCTACATTTAAGATACTTTCATGTGAGGTATTATATAACATTATTTTAGGCATGGAGTTTCCAATGAAAAATTGGGATAATGTTTTGATTATTTCATGTAAGAGTGTATCAATTATGTACCACAGAAGATTTTTTAGCTGATTTACCAATGTATCCATTGTTATTTTGGGTCTAAATTTTGCCCATGTATACATGGATAATTCATGATATTGTAATTGTCTAATTAGCATAAGGTATAGTGTAAGATTGTTTTAATTGTCAAACTATTCTTCAGTATTGGAGGCTAAATAAATAAATAAATAAATATCCCTTTTAAATTTGAAGGTGATATATGTAGCGGTTTTGGAGAAAACTGCCAGATGTACGGACGGGCGGACGGGCGGACAGACGGACGGACGCGCCTAGGCCGACAATATGGCCCCACACTATGTGGTGGGGACATAAAAATGTGATTTCAAATGACAATTAACTTGGCAGTTTACATAGAGACAGTTTCATATGTACAAGAGTTTCACATTAAGTTATATAAAATCACAGAGTATTCTTAACTGTCTAAGCCATATTTGTTGTTCAGGGCATATACAAATTTCAAATGACCATTTAAAAGAAGCCTAAATCCCTGGGTAATCAAATGAAATAATAGTGAAATATAATCTGTATTCCTAAATTGACTGTATTCAAGCCTTCTATAAACTGTGAACAAAGTCAATGTTTCACCTGGCATTTATTCGTCAACACTGCACCTGGTAATATGAGTAATGTATAACGTCATAACGGCGGGCCATAATACTGGCGAGCCATCATGAATATTCAAAAAAGTTTGGTGAGTTTTCATGTTCGAATCGTCATATATAGACAGGTTCCAATTCAAATAATTTAAGTTTTTGAGGCATTTTTTAGAAAAAGCAACAGACCTATTTTTACTAGATCAGTTTTTCATGCTGATAAAGATATTAAAAGATGACAGCTCAACGGGGTGGTCACGACACTAAATTTTGGCATTTTTACCCCCCTAGGAAAATATTCTAGGGGGTACTATGAAACTAGTTCATAACTCAAAGGATATATGAGCTATTGTTCTGAGTTGTACACCATACATTGCTAGTACAAATATGAATACTATCCTAAAGTAATGGGTTGATACCCTTATTGGTCTCAGAAAAATACAAAAAACAGGAAAAAGATACGCAATTTTTGTCTTGCCAATTTTATATTTGTAGCTTCAAGCACAATATGACAGCTTTAACAGCTCATAGTAGTATTCTAAAAACATTTCTAAGCTATGTGTGGTATTGTAATACATCTATTTTAGTTATAAAGTACTATTTTGTAATTTTAATATGACTTTATAGTGCCCTACCCCTGGAAAATTGAAGAAAGTGGATGTGGTGAATTTTATCATTTTGCAGCATTAAGTTAGAAACATGTATTGAAAGACACCAAATCAATAAATTCATACCATCATCAAATGTTAGGTGACTTTCTAATTCATTTATTACTAGAATATAGGACTTAAGATATTTTATATGTAAGTTTTCAATTAAGTACATGTATCATAATGAAATCTAGTGAAATCACATACTAGAGAGGTTGGCATACAGTCTGGACATTGACATAAAGTCTAAACATTATAATCATCAATTGATCTCATTTTAGCAACTAGACTATGATGGTCATCATGCACAAGTAATGTACAGTAGAACCTGCTAAGTGGAACACCTCTGTAAGTGGAACACCTCCCAAGTGGAACGCCTTTTCAAAGTCCCGTTTTAAAAACCCATTGACTTAATGTTAATTGAATCTCTGTAAGTGGAACACCTCCAAACTTGAACAGTGAACACCCCATATTGAAAAATTAACCTGCTAAGTGGAATAGTCAATTTCCATAGATTTCAATATTGATATATGTAAACAGAATTAATCTCCTTCAATGATATCTGGGTATGAAAACAGGTAATACTGTGATAAATGGCAAATTAGGATTTTAATGGATTAACCTCCTGTAGAGGTCAACATGTGATGCAACCAATAATTAATTTGATTATCAGCAAATTAAGATTTCATAAGATTTTCATTCAGAAAATTGGATTAACCTCTTGTAGAACTGGACACGTGATGCTACCACTAATTAATATCCCTTGCTGTTTGTTTCAAACTTTATAAGTAAGATTAAAAATGTCATTTAAAAACAATTAAATTATTAACAGTAGGAACAAGTCTTTAAAACTTAATTGCCTAATCCTTGTACCTGAGACTGGCACAATTAGGAGGATTAAGAATATCAGAAAACATTTTTGGCAGAATGAGGAGGATTAAGAATGTCAGATACCTTTTTGAGTTAAATAAATGGATTATAAATGGTATATACCTGCCCTGTAATGAAGGGAGAATCATATTTCCAATGATACATATAAATCCCATATTTGATTTTGTATGTTCCCTGTGAACCCAAAACCTCTGTAAGTGGAACATCTTCTAGTAAGTGGAACGCAGAACGGAGAGTGTTCCACTTACACAGGTATTTACATAATAATGTTATAAAGGAGCATGTAGGTTATCGCAAACAACTTCAGACAATTCTAACTTGAATTATGAATATTTTCTGACCATGAACATGGGTATATCTTTTAGATCTATTCATTATCTTCAAGAAAAGTAAATATAATGATTAATCAGACCTAAGTGATATTAAAGGGAATGGCCCAATCAACATACTTTTTACTAAAAATGTTGACCTAATTTTTACCAAAGATGCAACCTTTAATTATATTGTTGAATGCATAATTAGAATATGCTTTGAGACATGTTCTATTTCCTAAGAGGAAAAGTGGATTGCTCCAGGGACACTGAATTTGGATGACCAAAATGAACTGAAACCAATGGATAGCATGAATTTTTTCAAAGGGGAAATAACATGGGGAACACTAATCTTAGGGGAATTCAGTTTTCTTTTCAAGAGCTATTTGATACATTAAAATAAAGAATAGTAATGCATTAAACATTGTTAAAATGATTGCATTTTTGGTGAAAATGAGGTCAACAACTTTGAAAAAATATATTGATGGGTTGATTGCTAGTGAAATATCTCCGAGTCCGATTGACTTTATTATCCCTGTATATCTGTCTTCATGGTCAGAAAATAGTCATAATCAAAGATATAACTGTCTGAAATTGTTTGTGATAACTTACCTGAACCTTTCCAGGTCAAATCAGGAGTGACAAAATTATTTCAACCAAATTTTTGACATGTCTTCAAATACGATAATATTTTCTTCATAAGATAGAGTGTCACTTGTGAAATTTATTGATTGACCTGAGATCTTACCATATCTTTATGACAGAGAAGCGAAATAGCCATATTGAACTTTAATGATGTTTGTTTAATTGTTGTTTGCCACTTTTCGACAATTGTCAAAATTTGGGGGTTTGGGGGAGGGGTACAATTAGGTTAAAAAATTCACCTGATTCAGACTATCCTTAAATGAGCACTGATTCACCCGAGAGCATAACTTTTTCAAAACATGTAAGTGTTATTTTTGGACCACTCACATTAATGTTTCGTCTAATTTTCCCTTAGAGTTTCATCATCATTGTCCAAATCTTTGTTGAGATATTTGAGATATATGAATGTTCATTATTAAAATCTTGCCTTCCTTTGCAGTTGGAAAAGATTCGGCATTAGGTGTTATAAGTCCTAGAGCACGATAAATAAAAAAAATAACAACAAAATGACATAGAACTGATAGACGTTTTCTCCTGTGCGTGTCAGCCTTGGTCTACCAAATTGCTATTCAGTAGGAAGAAACTCATTTTTCAGTTTCCATTTTAATTTCCTGACAAATAGAGCGTAGCAACTTCTGTTTTAGAGAACAATAGAACAATAGAAAAGATTACTTTACCATAATTTTAATCATCCCACATTGTAGACATATTTAGAATTAAAAATATGAAGAGAATGACAAAACCTCTTAAAACACATTTCTTAGGAAACAAATAGTGTCGTATTCTTGTTACTATGGCAACAGAGTTTTTTCTTTTTGTCATTTTTGTCATACAGATTACCTATCATACCAGGACCAAATCCTGAAAATTTGAATTCAGTATCTTCATTACTAGTATCTTAGATATATAGGTTTCTTATAGTGTCCCCTGCAGATTTTATCGGATGATATAAGGAAAATGCTCTGAAGAGGGTTGCCCAAGGATGCCACTTAACAGTTCTGGTATTTTTGAGGTCCCAACCCTCTATTCATAGGAATAGTTAACCATTGTAAAGCTTCTCATGGTTAACTGACAGAATTGATTGTATCTTCAACTAAGAAGACAATAAAATGTTAAAACCAGAAGAAAACCACACGAACTTTCTTCTATTTACCAGGGGTAGGGCACTATAAAGTCATATTAAAATTACAAAATAGTACTTCATCACTATAATAGATGTATTACAATATCGCACATAGCTTGGGAATGTTGTTAGAATACTACTTTGAGCTGTTTAAGTTATCATAATTTGCTTGAAGCTACAAATATAAAATAAGCAAGAAAAAATGACAAAAATTGCATATTTTTTTCTAATTAATTGTATTTTTCCGAAACCAACAAAGATATCAACCTATAACTTTAGGGTAGTATTCATCTTTGTACTAACAATGTATGCTGTAGAACTCAGAACAATAGTTTATATATCCTTTGAGTTATGAACTAATATTATAGTACCCCCTAAAATAATTCCCTAGGGGGGTAAAAACGCTAAAATTCAGTGTCGTGACCACCCCGTTGAGCTGTCATCTTTTAATATCTTTATCAGCATGAAAAACTGATCCAGAAAAAATAGGTCTGTTGCTTTTTCTAAAAAATGCCTCAAAAACCCTTTCCCTTGAGATATTCTGAAATTGGAACCTGTCTAATAGACTTCAGAGCAGGTGTTATATTGACGAATACATACCATTAGTGCTAGGCACAAAAGCTTTCGACCTGTGAGATATGTAACTCAACTGAAATCAAATGAAATGAAAATGTTAGTGTCTAGCCCTGCAGTATGTATCCGTCAATATTTCAGTCTATATTTCTTTTATACAGTATTGTAACACTGAGAAATTTAGACTGAGAGCTAAGATTTTGTCTCACAAAATACCCTCTTAGTTTTTTATTACACAGATGAAGATCTGAAGAGTAGCTGGTGCATGCAGTTGGCAGGATGTACACCAGTCAACAGTACAGATGAGCAGGGCAGAGAGAGGTTTATGGTATTTCCTCCACATGTTTACATCAGGGGGAACCTACCACGTTGGTACACAAAAAGACTGGACCCTGAGAGAGGGAGAAGCCAGGTAAGCTTCCCTCCAGTCTCAAGAATATAAGTACAGTATAGTCAGAGATTATCTTATTGTTTAATAAAGGAGTATAGTAATTCAGCTAGAAAATGAGATAATAATGTTCAAATTCTAGAGAACAATCATACAACATGCATGACTTAAAAGGCTCTCATTAAAATACATCATAAGTCTTTTATTTTCAGGGTTCCAATTGTTGCAGCGATTATCCAATAGGTTTCCACTATATCGATACTGCTATGATGTATGATATGTATTACTTCTTCTATACAATGAAAATAGACAAACAGTTTTTATGAGCATAAAAACATGATGCTAACTGGGGTTATTAAGTTATTTATTCACTTATTTATATAAATTTGTATAGAAGGGGGCTAAATATTGCAAAGGAACATACAAAATGGTTAATTGCCAAGATTTTATGTTATAAGTGATTAATCTATTGCGAAAGAAATGTATTTAGAAATCAATACTTTTTTTATTTATCTTATTTTACTCATGTTTTATTCATATAGACTTTAATGGACAGATGTTAGTGAATTGCTCAGTGTTTACATACTTAAGCCATAAGAAATTCTATTAAATTCAGTCAAAGTGATGTCATTGAAATCTACATGAAAAAGTACATCTAGCATGGGAAGATCCAGGAGCTAACAATGAGGGGCCGGATTTCAAGAGTTTTCCGTGCTTGCCTATAAAAAAATGTTGGTCCCCTAAAACCAAAAACTGGGCCTCAAATTATCAAAATTTATCGATTATCTGGCCCAAAAACCTCATTGGGTTATTATGGTTTATATCGCAACCCAAAAAGTGTGTATTAAGATTTACTTTCCTGTTATCCCAAAATCTGCTTGGAACTGAACCATTAGATTGCTATGGGAAATTCTTTTCTTATATTGCACAGATATCATTTTCTTTTACTGGTCATATTTAATTTGCATATTACCATTAGATACATAAGGGTGATATGAAAATTGAACCACTAAAACAGAAGAGCTTAACTAAAGGAGAATGGGTTGGTTTGTTACATTAGCGACATGGCAGTTCTTATTATTCAATTGTCTTCATTTGCCATTGTCTTTGTTCCATTAAAATCATATCCCCCTCGAACTTCGTTCAGTGGGATAATTTAACTGTAAGCGATAAATGTTAAAATTAAAAGAGTTCTGATTCGTTTTTTGTTTGTTAAAACAAATAGTAACTGTACTGCCAAATTTTCCCCTCAAAATATCCTGTCCACTCGCATGTTCCCTTGGGTCTGCTGCCCCAGAAACAGTGGACAGGATATAATATTCCCTTTGGAAAAATACTTTGCACTATTTCCCTAAATGGCAGTCACTATTTGTATTCTAATACATCATACATACCTATAGCAGCACACAAAGTGAGGATACACTACTCCTATCTAGTACTAGACAGCAGCACACAAAGTGAGGATACGCTACTACTTTCTAGAACTAATACATCAAACATACCTATAGCAGCACACACAGTGAGGATACACTACTCCTATCTAGTACTAATACATCATACATACCTATAGCAGCACACAAAGTGAGGATACACTACTACTTTCTAGTACTAATACATCATACATACCTATAGCAGCACACAAAGTGAGGATACACTACTACTTTCTAGTACTAATACATCATACATACCTATAGCAGCACACAAAGTGAGGATACGCTACTCCTATCCAGTTCTGATGTCCTTTTACGAGAGTTACTCTAAGAGGGTCCATGTAAGTACCTACAGAAAGAACATATAAAAAGCTATATACAAAAATTGTAATAAATCCTACCAGATCCAGTTTTTATAGCAATGACATTAAGCTCTGGATGTCAAGGGAGAGAATGAATGTAAAATACTATGAAATTTACATTCGAACATGACTGTATTCACGCCTTCTATAAACTGTAAACAAAGTCAATGCTTCAGCTGGGTTATATTCGAGATCAATAACCCAGTTAATACGTGTAATGTGTGACGTCATAATGGTGGGTCATAGTAATGGTGGACCATGATGAATATTCGAAACATTTTGGTGAGTTGTCATGTTCGAATCGTAATATAGACCTCAGAGCAGGGGTAATATCGTCGAATACACCCCTTGGGGCTAGGCATAAAAGCTTTCGAACCCCTCACTCCCTTGGGTCGTTCAGGGTACAGAAAACGTTTGTGCTTAGCCCTACATGGTGTATTCGACGATATTACCCCTGCTTTTCAGTCTATATTTCTTAATTATCACATGGTTAAACTCCCCGTCTAAAGTTTGAAAATATTTTTTTATCATTCATTTACTATTTGTCATGACTTAAAAAGTTATTTTAGAGATTAAAGAAAAAAGAAATTTTTTGAAAAAAAATTTGTGAGCATTTCATTTCTCAAATATTCAAATTTCCCGCCATTTTTCAAAAAAAGTTGAATTTTTTTAATCATCAAATATTTCTTAATGCATTTCAAAAAAGATTTTCTTTTTAACACCAATGCAAAGATTGAACAAAGGACACACTATTTCAATAATAAAATGCCATATTTAATGGGCCACTTCAATGTTTTAGCATATCAAAAATATTTTGAAACATTAGTGATGTCACTAAGGTAGCAAAAACTTTTTGAAAAAAATGGAAATTTTTTTTTCGATGTCAATCTTTTTTAAATATGCTAGACTTCAATAATAAACAAATGTTGATTGTCTAACCAGGTTAAAAGGAAGAATATATTATGTTTTAGATATCGTTGTACCATTGGTTTCTATGAGAACTAAAATTTTGAAATGCATTTTTCTCGGAACCATTTTCATGCACTGATCAGTTCATTTCTCGCTTATTTATGAACCGATTTTTTAAATATTTTCGGCAAAAAACATGCAAGGATGAATGCTATGCATTGGTATGAATTGTGGCTAATTAAATGATATGTGTGACCTCTAAAAGTTAGTTTTAAATAAATTCACAAATTTTGGAAGAAAAAGTCTATCAAAAACCACTTTTTGAAATTTAAAAAAAAAGTTTCACATATCACACTTTGATAACATTGGGTAAGACTACAATACAAGCCAAATTGGTTTAAACTTTAGATGGGGACTCTAAGAGTTTCTAAGAATTCTGATTGGTCAATTGTGATGATGCATATTTCATATCACATGGCATGTGACTCATTTTTTGTGTGATATGGTGGACTGTATCACTATGGAGTCAATTGCAAAAGTGTAACATCACTGGTTATATCACTTTGTAGCTAAAGAAAACAGCATGATGTCATATTATTTCACAAAGACAGCTGTATGACCTCATATTATTTCACAGTCTAATCATCTTAAGGTGTTAGGTTCCATATCCATACGCCAAAAGGTATGACCCATATATAGTCCATTTAAAAATCTGTGGTTTTGTTCTAAATAACGCCATAGTTGGCTTCTAGGGTACCTAGTATGCCACTATTTGGTATCAAAATAAAGAGGGGGAGTTCAACTTTCATTTGAATTACGAAAATCGAGATGTAGGTCAAATAGTTCCCACGTGAGCATGTTTACTACGCGTTTGCCCGTCATCTCAGAATTGAGAAAATGGTAGCAAACGCGAGTTGCAATTAATGGATGCTGATATCTTAAAAAGAATAGCCTGACTCCCTATAATTTGATGTAGATCGAACCCCTATATGAACAGGTATATTTTGATATATAACACTATGAGGGGTAAGCGTTTTATAGTTGATCACGAACGCCATATGTGCATAGTGTTGTTCTGAATTTTCGAATTTGGTGTTGGATTACAGTACTCACACCTTAATAGGGTGTCGACTTTTAGCTTGCAACCGAAGATACCTCAAGAAAAGCCGGAGATTGCCGAAGATTTTCTTTGCAAACGAAGTTGGCCGAGGGTACCATGAATGTGAAGAGGACTGTCTAATTGGTCAAAAAGAGAGGCTCGGCATTCTCCGTCAGATTAAATCGGCAAAATTCGGCTGCATGGCCCAACCTCGATTGAATGGGAAAGATGCTGTCCCCACCTTAATATGAGGCCTAAAATTGTCTGCTAGTTGGCCAGAGACCAATATTCTAGTAGAATTTGAGAACAGGAACGATTTTTTGGTTCTGCGTAGGGCAAACAATGATTTAATAAAATCACTTTCAACCCTTCGGTGCGCATAAGAATGGTCATAAGAGGCCCGTGGAAGTCATAAATGAAAGAAAGCCCTCTGAAATTCTGTCAAAATTGCAGGTTATTTCTTCATTTTTGCTTAAATTACATGATTTAGAGGGCCCATATCTCACTGAAATTGCTACAATGTAGCGATTATTCATTTTTACAGGCTAGATATTTATTTATTTATTTTTATTTAGCTAGTTATTCAGAACTACGCTTTTGTATCAGCGACACACTTTCACAGGTGCGTCTTTACAATAAAACATAATATATCTAAAACTGAGTCTTAAGAATCGTTAAGATTGCACTAAAACTTTAGTGGTTAAAATACGTTTCCTATGCGACTAAAATCCTCAATAACTAATACATCTTAATTAAAAAACATTTTAGATGCTGTGCCAAATGTTGAACCTAAATATTGTCACCCAAGTCTAAAAGCCTCATCACCTAGAATCCATTGAAGTTTACATTCAGGTGAAGACGTGAAGAATGTTTCACTCAGGGCAGATGGAATTTTACTTTCAATTGTTTTGAAGAACACATTACACTGGTCATTATAGTGGGGACAGAGTAGAAGTCTATGTTCTACCGTTTCAATCATATTTGTACAAAAATTGCAATTTGGGTCCGTGATACAGTGTCAGGTCAACAGAAACAGTGTGATTTTTAAATTGCTACATTGTTATTTCAAAATACAGCTGTGGGGGAAACTGCTATTTACTAGGATTTGGGCAAAAATGGCCAAATTTCAGTCAAAATCCTCGGAACATAGGGCCTTTGTCGTAGATTTAGTCAATGATGGAACTCTTAGTAGAAGGTGTACCATATAGGGAATGAAAGCTGTTTGTCAGACGTATCATCTTCTTCAATAAACTCAGAGATAGTCAGGTTAGATTTGTGACGTCACAGTGGCAAAGTTAGACTAGCATATTCAGACGTATTTGGGGTAGGGCAAATTAACCCTTTCTAGCCTAAATGGATAAATTTTTCACATAGTCAGCCAGTTCTGAATATTTTATGCATTTTGAACTAAAAATGATATTTTCTGCCAAAAAAAGTTGCAGAGACAAAAATCAGTGTGATGTCATAAAACAGGTGTGAGGTTCCATATCCATATCCATCCACCAAAAGATATGACCCCTATATAGTCAATTTAAAAACTTGTGGTTTTGTTCTAAATGACGCCATAGTTGGCTTCTAGGGTACCTAGTATGCCACTTTTTGGTATCAAAATAAAGAAGAGTTAAACTTTCATTTGAATTACGAAAATAGCGATGTAGGTCAAAATAATACCGACGTAAGCATGTTTACTACGTGTTTGCCCATCATCTCAGAATTGAGGAAATGGTAGCAAATGCGAGTTACAATAAATGGATGCTGATATCTCAAAAAGTAACCTGACTCCCTATAATTTGATGTAGATCAATCGAACCCCTATATGAACAGGTACATTTTGATATATAACACTATGGGGGGTAAGCGTTTTATAGTTGATCATGAATGCCATATGTGCAAAGTATTGTTCTGAATTTTCGAATTTGGTGTTGGATTACGGTACTCACACCATATTTATATCTTTTATTGACTCAATAACCATGTCATGTAAATGACATATCAGTCACTACAGTGTACAAAAAACTACAAACTACATATTAGAAAACTACTTTACATCAGTTTCACATGTCAAGGTATGATAACAGAATATCAGTGTGGTGTTTCCATAATATATGTGTTTTTAAAATGTTTACATAATATTATTCATTTTCTAAACAATTTATCTGGATCTTTGCACTGTTTCAGATCAGATTTTAAAGTTTCAAACAAAAGTTCTCTGTATTTTAAGTTCTTTGTACAGCTTGTGATAAAGTGAAGCTCATCCTCAATTACCCCACATTCACTACACAACCTTTCACTTGTGGGTTTTGGCTTTGGTTTTGTGTACCACCCAACTTCTAATATCTGTAATTTATGTGAACTCATCCTGAGCCAAGTTAATGCATGTCTATACTTTTTATTTTGAATGTTTAAATATAATTCTTTGGTGAAAGTACTTTTGAATTTTATATAAGTTCTAAGTACAGGAAAAGTAAGAATATCCTGTTTCCATTGAAGTGCATAATTACTTTTTAATTTCTTTGTGATCATTTGAATAAATATATAATCATCTTCAACATTTTGAGTCAACCAATGAGAAAATAAATCACATTGTTTTAATATGTCAATAATTTTACTGGACCAAGTGCCAGAGTAACCTAAACCATTCATTTCAAGGTCATACAAATATGATTTTTTTTGCATATTTTCTTCAGGTAATTTCTTTAAACGCAGCCAATATTTAATCAGCTTAATGTTGAAACAAATTTTTAAAGGATAACGTCCTAGCTCCCCATAAACAGCTGGTGTAGCTGTTGATTTTTTCACACCAAGCAAACATTTAAGGAATGCTAAGTGTATTGCCTCTATAGCTTTTACATGCTTCTTACTATACCATATCTTAGAGGCATATATTAAAATTGGTTCAACCATGGGCTTTCAATTAGAAGTTGAAAGCCCATGGTTCAACCAAGCTATCAAAAAGATACAGGGCAACAGAAATAGGAA